TGCCCTGCCCACCTCATCCTCCTTGACTTGATAATTCTAATTATACTTGAAGAAGAGTACAAGTTATGAAGCTCCTCATTATACAGGTTCTCCAACCTCCTGTCACTTCGTCCCTCTTCTGTCCAAATATCTCCTTAACGCCCTGTTCTCAAACACCCCCAGTCTATGTTTCCCCTTAATGTCAGAGACCAAGTTTCATACCCATACAGAACCACAGACATAATTATTATGTTACTGATTAAATGGTTTTAATGATGCGGTATCAGCCGTAGAAGTAGTTTCGCGGGTGAAATATAAGCGGATAGGTAAGGTTCATATTGCGCACTTTATTCGAGGAAAGGGAATGAAAATAGTCTGTAACATTTCATGATACTTTAAACTTAAAATCATACAAAGTAAGAGGCCCTGGACTGGGTCACACAATCATTAGAAACAAAATTAATGCGTTTTTTTTTCGAAAAAATGTAGAAAATAAAACGCACTATGGAAAGGTCTTGTCTTTAAAATCTACAACTTCCGTTAGAAAACAAATCTTTATATTGTATCTTTACGAAAACATGCGGAAATCATCTGTAAACCTATCCCGTGTTGTATCCATAGTGTGATTAGCCTCGATAAACAGACTACTATTCACTAAAATGAAAATCTTAAGCAATGAATTACGGGGAAACCGCAAAAACAGTAATTCGAAAATAGGCCTATGTTTGCTCCAATTTAGAATGTGTACTTCCACTTTTCGTATATATTTCTTTTTAGGAGCATGCGGTAGCGTAGATTGTTGAGGCATTATGCTACAAGCCGGAAGGTCGCAGGTTCGATTCCCGATGAGGTCACTGGATTTTTCAATTGACCTAATCCTTCTGGCAGCACTATGGCTCTGGGGTTGACTCAGTCTCTAACAGAAATGACTACCAGGAATCTTCCTGGGGGGTGAAGGGCGGCCGGCGGGTAAGGCTCAAAACCTTATCGCCATCTATGAGCCCACTGTCTAGAAGCCTCAACGTCTCAAAACCCTACGGGCCTCCACGGCCTACTACAGGGATAGCTTTAACTTTGTTACTCTTTTTTAGCCAGTTCACAGCAATCGGTGGTAAAATTAGTGTGACAGATATCAGATGCGTTCAATTTACGAGAAAGTTATTATTATTTTTTTTATTATTGATGTTGTTTTACAGCCCTTTGTTGGGCCTTGATAGCTTTTCAGTTTCTTGATCCTACACACCATCGGTAGGACTCCTTGGATGGGAGATGAGCCCGTCGCAAGGCCACTACTTACACACAGAACAACACAAACAGAATTAACGCACACAGACATCCATGCCTTGAGAGGGATTCGAACCCACGATCCCAGCGTATGAGTGAGCGAAGACGGTTCATGCCTTAGACAGCGCGGCCACTGTGATCGGCATTTACGAGAAAGTAGAGAAGTAAATATTAAACATCTGGGCATACGCTCCACTTTACTCATTAAAACATAGACATTGCATATGCTGTCTTTGCCGTTAAGGTCAGTGAATAAATAAACGCCACGTGCAACTGTCTGTCAATATAACAATAACTGAATAGACAAACACTTCGACGAACACCCTTCCGATACACTAATTGAAGAAGTCAAAGGCTCCGGTCAGCTCTCTACCGTTATAGTCACTGAAGAAGCAAACGCTGCAGTCAACCCCTTCATGCTTGTAAGGACAATCTTACAATTTTACAATTCTTATTTGAATGGATGATAATAGTAGGTGTTATAAATTGTAGGAGCTGGCAAATATGACACAGGCAATGCAAGAAAGAGCCCCTCTTTGAATGTGATGTTGGTCTTACAGGAACAAGGTACTTCGTATCAATGAAATCAAGGAGAGGATACAGAATTACCGTCTAGGATCGATAATAGTTGACCCCAGACCTACTAATGTGCCAATTGATGAACTGGTAAAATTGGTGAACCTGAACATCACCCATCCATCGCCAATAGATGCATATCCCATGAAGAGACGAAGTTCTCATCCACTGTGTAAGTACAAAATAATATATAATTCAATATAAGACATCCCACCAGTTATTACCCTGTGTATCAAAGCACAAAGTGAGACTTTCGTAGAATACGTAAATCTTGCCCAGTTCTTGTCCTATAATCATAGATCAGAACCTGTCTCATGGAATAGATGTGCTGTTTTGTGATGATAAAGATACTGCAAATGTTCGGTCCCTAGCCCAGAAAAAGTATAAATTTCCTGGAACAAATTATCTTAGAATTTATACCGCTTGAGAAGTGGCCAAAGAGACAATCCAATGTAAGCAGGGGGAGAATACAGTAACGCAAAAAATGTCCTAATCGACCAAGCAAATCTGCTAGGCTCATACAGCCGTGTTCATCAGAGTCCACAGTCAGAGGTGGTCCCCTAGAAAACAACTAATTAACTAGTCAGCCTTTCTTGGCCACAGGGTGGTTACTAACCTAATCGAGAAACCCACGCTGTTATGGATCTCGGAAGCTCATCACAGTCGCTATATAAACTCTATATGAGGCCTATTGGGGTTCATTTCCATCCATATCTAAGCTTCATAGTCCGCGACTGTAAGATTCATTTTAAAAGGTGAAAAGGTAAAGCTATGTCTGAGCCAGGACGTGTAGGCCCATAGGGTTGTCATACGTCGAGGCTCCCACATTCTCTAGACAGTCAGCTCACAGATGGCGGTAAGGTTGTTAGCCTTACGCATCGGCCGTCCTTTAGCCCCAAGGAAGATTCCTGGTACCTATTTCTGTTATAGGCTTAGTCGACCCCAGGTCCATAGTGTGGCTGGAAGAATTAGGTAAACTGAAAAAAAATCCACCTCGTCGGGACTCGAACCCGAGGCCTTCCGACTTGTAGCATAGTGCCTCAATCAACTACACTACCGGGACCCCCCCCCCCAGCATTTATTTTAATCCTACCTAAAAAAAGTAAAGCTATCCATGTAACAGGCCGTGAAGGCCCATGGGGTTGTGAGACTTGAGGGTCCCACATTATCTAGACAATCGGCTCAAAGATGGCAGTAGGGTTAATCTTACCTAAAACCTAAAAAAAAAAACCAGTTCTAAAGAGATGAACTCCTTTTAAGGCAGTTTTATTTCATTTCAGGCACTCTTCCAAATAACACCGACGTCGATCTGTGGGTTAACGGGAACTCCATGAACCTCCTGTTCAACCTGACCTACCCTGCCCAACAGAATACAACTGTCACCATCATTGCAGCCACTCTGCGTCTCTACAAGTTTGCTCAGGTATGATTATCCTTACAGGGCTTACAGGAAATGACTCTCCTTACATGTTAGTGGTCCTTATTACAAATATTATGTTTTTGGACATTATCCATCTCTGGAAATCCGGAGGTAGGGACTGGTTCTATCGATTGGGCCCAACTGAGTAGGTTTCACCTGAAGATTCAGGCTGAATCCAGTCTCTGAAACGTTGTTTTGAAAAATAAAAAGGACAGTGTTTTTAAATAAAGAGAGGACGATGGTTGATATCCAAAAACATAATATTCGTACTAATGTACCACTGTCACAAACTTTTAGATCTTATAAACGGTCCTTATACCAATATAATTTATAAAATTACAGCAAAACTTCAAACACTTCAGCTTCATAGCAGATTTCCCCATTCAGTTGTGAAAATGAACAGTACGAATTCTGGTTTATTTATTGCTCGCCTCGTGACAATTCCTGCTACCGCATAGCTAGCAGCCATTAACCATCTTGTTTGAAACTTAGCATAACACTAAAAACGTTACAATAATTGGATATACAGATACGTTGCCTTAATCAAGTAACAGCCTGTTAGTCATTATAATACTCATAGAAGGAAATGTGGTTTGTGTTTAAGTAAAAGCTATAACCGCTATTTCGTTACCATACTATATGTGAAAATAAGACTCAAAAATATAGAAATAAATACGATGTACAGTCTCAAAATGCCCAAACAGCGTATTACATGCGTGAATACTTAATTCCGGGATAGCAAAGTCGGTATAGAGACTGGCTACGGGCTGGACAACCGAGGGGTCAGAATATTTTCTTCTCCATGTTGTCCAGACCGGTTCTGAGGTTCACCAAGTCTCCTATCCGATGGATACTGGGGGATCTTTCCGGGGGGTAGAGCGGCCGGGGCATGAAGCTCACCACTTACCCCCAACTAGTGCCGTGGTCAAGTAAACGTGGATCTATACATCCATTCCCCATAGGCCTTCCTGGTGTAGTGCTTAATCAGTTAAGCACAGTGACAACTTTACCTTACTCTGACTCTTCGTGAAGCCGGAATAAGAGTAGTTCAGTCGGTATAGAAACTAACTACGACCTGGACGGCCGGGGTTTGATTCCCAGTAGGAGAAAAGGGTATTTATGTAATCAGCAGTGTTCAGACTTGCTCTGGGGCCAGCCCAACCTCCTATTCAATGACACCGAGGGCTCTTTCCTCAGAGATTAACGGCCGGGACGTGAAGCTGACCCTTCACCTCCATCTAGTGTCGAAATCAAGAAAACTTGGATCTATACCGCCATTCTCCCATACGTGTTCATGGCAGCACAAGAATAACTTTTTTTTTCCTTGGCACTACAGCCCCAGCGGGCCTAGGCCTACCTCCATGAACTTCTCCGTTCACTTCGGTTTTTCTAGATCTTACACATTCGGTAGGACTCCTTGGGCGGGCGATCAGCTCGTCGCAAGGCCTCTATCTGTATACAAACGCAGAAAAACGCAAACACACAAACTAAACATCCATGGCCTGAGTGGGATTCGAACCCACGATCCCGGTTTCCAAGCGAGCGAAGACAGTACGACGTACATGCCTTAGACCGCTCGGCTACCGTGACCGGCCAAGAATAACTTTACCTTTTACTTAACGTTTGACTCTTCAGGGCAATCACACACTCATGGCGTACTCCTGCAAACCTGCCATTGCCTCGCCCAACAGTCCCGATCATGAAAATGAAGACGAACAAGAACAAGAACAAGAACCTCAAGGAGACAACCCTGTTCTTCTGGAAGCTCCTGAGCTTCCAGCGACACCAGGGACAGTCATGACAGATGATGACAAGCAATTACGTGTGTCTGTGTATTGGTACACACGCTCCCTGAAGAAGAATAAAGGTCAGTAATAAAATTAATCTTATGAAAGCAATCTGTTCGTAATATTATGACTTCCTCTTAAAATAAGTGGTCAGGACTATATCGGATATCTAATTAGCATTGCCACCTTTCGCGTTATAGCCTATAGCCTTCTAAAATTCAGTCTCATCATTCCCGTCGGATTTCATCACAAATTAGGAATCTCTCGAGTTTCTCGCCCCTCAAGTTCTGTTGGTTCATAATATAGACTATACTTTTAAGTATTACTCGTCTCTGCTGAAATGCACTTTTTACATTAATTTCCAGGTTTTTAAAACAATATTATTTTCGTTTAAGTTATAAATAATCTTCTCAAAATGGCAGATATTTGTGGCCGTATCAAATAGATGCTATAAGGAAGCATCGTTTTCACAGTAGGTTCTATTTCTTGATGTCTCGTAGTAAGAAACTCCAGTTCTCAAATCGTGGGCTTACACCACAGGTTCTCAATCTTTTACGGTTCATCGATCTGCAGGACAGTGAAGGGGTTTCCAGGGATCAACACACCACACGTCACAAACTCAGCACAACAAATGCAGTAATCTACATATAACATAATCACTGCTAGCATTCGTCTGCAAAATACCTTCGTACAGTTCTAAAATCGAAGTGACACCAAAATGGCTGTCCTTGAAAGATCCCAAAGAGAACTGCGCACGAGTAAATACGAAATAAAGAAGCTGACAGAAATTTCTCATATTGTCAGATTGTTGTAACTGAAGAAAAAATCCGTAATTCAGAACCTTAATAAATCCCCAGTGTAAAAAAAATACTTTGCAAGACAAACTATTTGTCCGCTTAAAAGGAATCAAAGACAAGGTATTAATTGTAGAATAGTAGTCTAGGATCTGAGATTCTCGCATGGGGTGATTATGAAGAATTTTATCTTCTGGGATATGATACCATGTAGTCCGATGAAAATCAACCGACGTTTCGGAGGAACATACCACGTTCTTCTTTAATAATGTAGCATCGGAGGTTCTCACAAAGGTGGTTATGAAGAGTTTTATCTTCTGGGATATAACGCCGTGTAGTCCATTAAAAATCAAATTATGTGATGGAAGAACAGGATGCGTACATCTTCAAGGTCGAAGAATACGCCAAGCAAGAAACCAACAGGAAGCAGTTAGCATGTTCTGCTTCAACCCTGAAAATGGAAAACGTCGGTTGATATCCAGTGGACCATGCGGCGTTATAACTCAGAAGACTGGACTCTTGGGGATAGCAATGTTTCTAAATGTGATAAAATATCATAGGGATAGTCAAAATTTGTGGACTGACAGCCATCCGCGGTCCACCGGACGATAAATAATAATCTAGCGGTTGAGGAAATGCTGTCTTATTAGAAAAATCATCCGATACTAACCAGTGGTCCCTTTGTCGAACCTAGGTGTAGGAGTTCGGCTATCTTCATCCAGTAGAAATAACTGTAAAGTTGGATATGAGCATAATTAAGCACCATGCAATGAACCGTGTGGGTGAGTGTAGGTATAGCTCCTTATATTCTCAACCTCGATGTTAGATACAGGTTGGTGGTCAGCTTCACGCTCGGCTACTTAACCCCTCTACACATTTGATAGGAGTTTGGAGGGGTTCCAGAACCGGTTTGGGCATTTCGGGGAAAACTACCTTATCCTTGTCGGGAACTGAACCCCCGATATCTCGGTCAATGTAGTCTAGTCGCCATGCCAACTGAGCCACCCATACTCCGCAATAGAAATAGACTAATATGATTATAATTTCTTGCTACCGGAGTTTTTTCTAGGCAGAAAGAGCCATAACACTGCTGTGTAGCCAAGGTCTCTGGAGAAATGTACATCAGAGCCCATGCATGCAGAAATAAAATTTTATTATACATGTAGTATGCTACAGACGCAATAATGACAATATGCGACTTCAAGCAACGTTGTAATATTGTTACGCAGGTAGAAAAAAATAGGCATATTTTACGAAATCTTTAACTGACTGAGAATCTGAAAATCACAAAAATAATATTTATCGATTTTTCACTTAAGATCTGCGATCTTAAATTCCGATGTAGACGAGAGTGTAAGAATGTCCACGATTTTGGAGCAAGCCTATACTTTTTGCGAATGCGTTCCCTCGTATCCCTCATGAGTTTTATTGTGAATTTACTGCAGACGCAAACAAATTGTTGTCTAATACTACAAAATCATAAACGATAAAATTAATTAGCAGTACGAATACCATATTTGGGCACGGGGTTGCGTAATTGGTTGAGGGGGTATGCTATAAGCCGGAAGGTCGCGGGTTCAAGTCAAGATCAGGTCACTGGATTTTTTCAATTAACCTAATCCTTCCAGCCGCACTATGGCTCTGGGGTTGACTCAGCCTCTAACAGAAATGAGTACCAGGAATTAATAAAATAATTTTTCTGGGGAGTAAAGCGCGGCCGGCGCGTAACGCTGACAACCTTACCGCCATCTTTGAGCCGATTGTCTAGATAATGTGGGAGCCTCAACGTCTCACAATCCTATGGGCCTTCACGGCCTGGTACAGGGATAGCTTTACTTTTACTTTACGAATACCATATTGCGTAATTGTTGTCTACACGTTATACTTCACTTTATTTTACTAAATATATAAGAAATGTATATCATGAATGTTGGTAGGCCTGAGATTTGTACTTTGTGTCATTTTTTAGATATCTGATAAATTTATGATGTAAACTGAGGATTGCAGTGGATCAATCTTGATCAAAATGAAATTCCCCTAGCACCCACCCTGTTGTGTAGACATCCCCAGTACTTATGTTATTCGCAGTACCTTGAGTGTCCTGTAGAATACAGACAGTGGATACGACTCCCATCTCACGGCAGTTTCGTTGTGCCAACAGTGAAGCGGAAGTTGCTGGACTCGAGAATGCTGCCGGTCTATGGAAAGGGCGGTTGGATCGAGTTCAACGTGAGACCTGCCGTTCGTCAGTGGCGCCTGCTGGGCAAGAATTTCGGACTTGTGGTCGAGGTAGAAAACGAGGACGGAGACCTGTTGAAGGCAGCGGATTATTTCACCGCCATGAACTGCTCTAATGAGGCATGTGAGTGACCAAAGCTTGCAACCATTAACAAGCGCTGTTCGCTGGACGTATGGCTTCAGTACCATGTGATGACATCCCAGCATGCTATAGATTATATACTGTCAATGATACTGATCGAGGCACTGTCCCATGAACTCAATGCAGTCACTTGCTAGTGAAGATGGCATCGTTTTTTTTTAAATGTTCTGGTGCATTATAAATGTGAAAGCTCTGTGAGAACAGCCCTGTGAATATCTATCCCGCCTCACCTATGCCTAACAATTCAGGAAGGGCCGCGCCATAGCTCAAGCGGTTAGTCGCTGGCTTCCCATTGCGGCGGTCCGGTTCGATCCCGAGTCTGGTCAAGTGGGATTTGTGGTGAATAAAGTGACGCTGGGGCAGGTTTTCTCCGAGTACTTCGGTTTCCCCTGCCAATCTTCATTCCACCAATTGCTCTACAATCACCCTCACCTATCATCTGAGGCTGGTACAATAGGCCAGAAGTGGCGGCAGTACAAGAGACTTAGTTCCACCCCACTAGCAGAAAAAAAAACAATTCAGGCAGATTAGAACCAAATTCAGTAAATCCGCATAAAACAATTAAACTTCACAGTTTAATTGTTATTCCTGATCAGATTATCTGCTTGCCTGTAGTTATACTTCGTGGCCCGTAGTCCGCAAGCGAACTATACCAATAGAGCGACCGCCGCTTGTCGGCGAAGCTAGTGCCAACTTTTGCGGATAGAGGGTGTCACATGGTCAGCGCAACGGATCTCCACGGCCGTTAATCTCGGTTTTCTAGACCGGCTGTAGTTATACTAGCGTACAAGTAAAGAACACGAGTTCTGTGGTGAGATTTACAATATTGGTTCTGATTTCTATCAGATATAGAGCCTGAGTCTGGAAGTGTCAGACCTGCCAAGCGATGCGAACTTTGCTGGTGTCTTTATGCTTGTACGGCACTGTAGTTTAAGAAGAAGCTTTGGTATTTATTAGGTTAGAAATTTATTCCAATCTGTCGAAAGTTTATTCCAACTAATTGTGGTACCGCTTCAAAACATCGTGTGACCCATTTAGTCTCCTGTATGCTATATGAAGCAAAAGTAGTTCCGAAGATCTGTAACCATGGCTAGTATCAACATGGGAGTATATTCTATGGATGTTGTTCATTGTCTGTGTAAAAATCTATGCAACGTTTCGGATGCGGGCTCGTAGCGACAAGGATTCGTTTGACTAGTTCTGTCTTCTGGGACATAACACCGAAATCAACCGACTACATGGTGTTATGTCCCATAAGATAGGAGAACTCTTCGTAACTACCGCTGTAAGGACTTGAGATCTTACAAAGGACTGATTTATTTAATGAGCCCCATACAAGTCGTATCCTTTATTTTTATTTCAACATGGACACTGAGCCAATACCCTAAACATAGTGAAACGTTTTGGCCGGGCAGTGCAGGGGACAGCATCCTAAGTGAATACTTCCACAACAGTAGAAAAAAGAAACTGTCAAATATACCAAGTGAAATATAAAATTCTATTGCCTCACCATAAGAAAAAGATGTATACTTAAGTCATACTGCTTTACAACGTGCCATGCCTGCAGTATGATTCTTTTAGTATAATACTAATATAGACGGAAGGTCGCGGGATCGAATCCCGATGAAGTGGATTTTTTTTTTCGATTTACCTAATCCTTCCTGCCGCACTATGGCCCTGGGGTCGACTCAACCTCTAACAGAAATGAGCACCAGGAATATTCCTGGGGGTAAAAGACGGCCGGCGCGTAAGGCTCACAACCTCACCGCCATCTGCGAGGCGAATGTCTAGAAAATGTGGGAGCCTCAACATCTCACAACCCTATGGGCTTCCATGGCCTGTTACAGGGATACCTTTACATAGTTTTACTTACTAATATTTTGGTTGCACTAACAACTATAACAGCTTGTGTTGCTAGTGAAGCACGCTTCCATTTTGATCAAATTGACTGACACAGCACATCGATTAACAGTACAAGACTGCAAGTCATGTGCACGATGTATAATTTGGTGTCATGTGAATAATAAGACCATTCCAGTTGATTTAAACAATGATATGGTGTGAGGAATTACACGTTGTTTGTTCCGTTCTAGAGCTGAGATGCAGAAAGGCAAAATGCTTTATGAATGAAAAGGCGTAAAAATATTTAAAAACAAAATAAGCTAGTCTTAGGTGGACCGACACGCAGACGAAATTACTATGGGAAACATTTTATATTAAAGTTGAAAGTATGGAAATCTGTAGAGACCTCAATATTTCATTCACATTTCAATTATTTCAATCGAAGTTCCAAAGAAAACTTTACGCTCAGCATAGACTGTGAACGGGACGCCGCCCTGGAAACTTACTCAACCGTATCCAGAATAGTTTTAACGTGTAAATAGTTCGCAAAACCATTACTGTTAAGCAACATCTGCTGTTAGTTTATGGTCATCCAATCTATCCTGAGCCGAGAATGCTTTCCGATCCCTATGTCCACATGCTGGAAATCTGTCTACTTATGGCTAAGCCCGATACATATAACCACTGCTGTAACGACCCAATTATCTAGTAATTAATAAGTCCAGGATGGTGCCATAACTCAGGCGGTTAGATTCCGACATTTGAACATGTAGGCCCACTTTCAGCACCGAGGTAAACCATTTGGTATTTCTAACGAATTAAGTACTTCGGCTTTCCTCTGCATATGACCATTCTGACAATACTCCATATGAACCAAACACCGCCTCTAAGGTGCAGAACGGTCTGATCTACAAATACGTTATGAGGGCCTCGGTTTTTTTATTGCTAGTGGGGTGGGACTAAGTCCCTTTTACTGCGGCCACTTCTGGCCTACTGTACCAGCCCCAGATGATAGGTGAGGGTGATTGTGGAGCAATTAGTGGAATGAAGATTGGCAGGGGAAACCGAAGTACTCGGAGAAAACCTGCCCCAGCGCCACTTTGTCCACCATAAATCCCACTTGACCAGACGAGGGATCGAACCCGGGCCGCCGCGATGGAAAGCCAGCGACTAACCGCATGAGCTATGGCGCGGCCTGGAGCCTCAGTCTTGGTCTTCAGCTCATTTTCCGAACCGTCCAGAATCTGTCCAGGCTAAGGATGCGAAAGTTTTAGTCTCGTTTCGTTAATAAATATGTTTCTTTCTATTAACAGCGACATCCCGGCCGCTCCCCAGAGTTCTTCTGCAAGCAGCACAGTCCTACTTGGAATCTAACTATGCCTCAGCAAGAACAGGCTTCGATATATCACCCATCATCGCTAGTGGACCAGAATTCACCTACACGAACCCCATCAGCAATAACTTTCCAGACACCGCGGGAAGAAAGAGAGAAGCCGGCCTCGGAGATCAAGATGCTCCCAGGAGGACTGTTAACTCCCCGTATATTTATTCGTTTCTGTTTCCCGTGATCGACTTGTGTACCATTGAAGTCCCGGCCCAAGAAGCCGCCAATGCAGCCTTCCTTCATCACGCACAATACCTGCTAACACAACACTCGACAGCTTGCAAAAACGGAAACTTGCAGAATCACACAGATTTTCTGCTAATGCATGGAACCACAATTCGTCCGGCCCAAATTCATCCGATGACAGAAGAAACAAACAAGACTGGGGATCTAGATGTTAACAATGGAACTGAAGAATTCAATAATATCGGCCACATACAACACGAAGGCCACAGGAAGGATCATCGCCACAACGGCCATCATGCAGCTCGTCTCGATGTTATACCCGAAGAAACGTCCTCCCCCATGCAAGATTCGCCACGTGCTGTTAAGATCCGGCACTCGAGACATCATCTGGACGAGAAACACAGGCCGAGGAATCAAAGTGGCAACCAGCAATTTGAAGATACAATGAAGAGACGAATAACAAATGGCGAAGATGAGAAGGAGAGCGAGGAGTTCAAAGAACAAGTGACATGGACAGATGAAAACGGCCATGAATTCAGAAAGAAGATCACATTTCAGGAGGTAATCCGTTCAGCGAATCCTCTTGATGCTAGCGCATTACCACAACGAGAGAGCGACAGATAAAATACTACATAAAGATAACACAAGCAGGTCCAGCCATGTTAATCATTTATAAAAGGTCTAATTTAGTTCGTATGCATACTGGCATTTGTTCAAACAACAAATGACGCAAAACTGATAGGAAAAAAAAAACGGATTTGAATAAAATACTTCTCAACAGCGTCTATGAATATAAAATATAATTAATTTCATTAAACTAGGAGTATTATAACAGCGAGGAAATGACAATGACATTGGTTTGTCAACAAAATATCAAGGGCATAGAATCAAAGATTCGCCTTGGGTTTAGGGTGAAGGGGTGTACAGACAGTTACGCTACAGTGCAGTGGATTATGTTCAGCAAATACCTACACGATATTATTTCGTAAGTCTATATAGTACTTCTTAGTTTATTATATTAAGAATTAAAATGAGAATGTAGTCACAGGGATAGAAGTGGTACGGGAATTATATGAGATTCATGAACTTGGGCTATATGACATTGTAAAATTCATTAAATATATCTGTAACGTCCAAAAACAGATAATATATGCCATATTCTGTATCATATAACAAACACACCAACTGAACTTAAAACAGTTCAGTGAAACAGTGCCAGAAGACTGATTATCACCATAGGAAGAAGTGCCTTAAATATGTGAACAATGTCAAAGAGGCTTGGGTAAACTGTAGAAACTATATTCCTTAAAAGGGTGGTAAAGTTGCAAGTAACACGACCTAGACTTGACTGCACTAAATAAATCTGTATGATAAGTAAGTTTTTAAAATGATTTTTGTAGCGATATGAAGATACATGGAAAGTTTATTAAGTCTATGTAAGAAATAACGTACCAAGACCCTAGTTTCTGAGTCAATAAAAACAAAAGAAATTTATGACTGACAATTTTCAAGTACAACTTCCACCATCCAAAACAGTATATATTCAAGTTCTAAACTGGGGTTATTGGTGAATTTCTTCTACCAAGAGAGAAGAAACATCTACATTGTTATCGTTAGAGCTATTACTTTATGTATATACCGTACTTTGCAAGTAATTATTATTAATATTATTATTAAATTATATCTGTTATTTTAAATTGTTTTATAATATAAACCCTATGTTGAGGCTATAATAAAGGGATGGTTTATATGATATTTCTCTCAAAGTATCTGACTTTCTGAATGGTTTTAGCATAAATGCATTTTAGTTTGAAAATTGGTCTTGTGTAATTACAAGTAATAACATGCTGAAGTCAGCTTATACCTTTAAGTGTAAGATATGTAAGGTCAAACAGTAGAACACATCTAAGTGGAAGTTTACAAATGTTCCTCTGTTAGGCATGTACCATCGTGTACAGAAGGTGAGAGCCACACTTTTTACCTTAACACATTTGCTGCCAGGAGTCCAAATGCCACTTTGAACCTGGGAAGCCAGGGGCAGTGACTTGAAAACACAAGTTATTTCTAATTGAAAAAAGAATATTTGCAGTAAATTCATTTTCATGATCAATGTATAGGGTCTGCTCTGATTCCATGAAGCTCCTTCTAAAGCCTTCGACAGTTTTGTGGCAAATTAATGAAGCCTCTTGAAGAGGAACTGGAATATGTTCAGGATTCGTTGTAACATTGTGGGCTGCTGCTAGATCTAGTTAATTTGGTACACTTGTAATTTTTCTTCTTTTGCTGCAAATGTGGTAAATAACAAATTCATTTTATCATGTGTTGTACTGTGAAGATTATTTTGGCTGGAGTGTTCAGTGACTTGCATGTAAGCTCAGTCAGACCTCTGAAACTGTTGGATAAACCACACATTGGTCAGAAAAAAAGAAACATCCATTGAAGGGCATGTAATCACTGAACACAGGCAAAATAAAAATCCTAAATATTAGCTATAAGGTTAAAAGTTTCAGAAATGTATGCAAATCTCACTTAACAGAAAACTGATGGAAGTAATGTTGTTATGACAACATTTTATTTTAGACTGAAACAAAACAGTGATGATAATATGAATGACTGAACTTGACTGTTGATAATACATAATTGTGGTTCTGAACTTAGAGACTAAAAATGTTCTGTAGTTTAGAGATTGGTATTGAGAAGTACAAAACTCTGTAAATATTACACAACTGATACATATAAGAATAGTGTACTAGGTACTATGTAAGAGGAAGTTAAGCAGAATATCTATTAATCACAGAATTTGGATTGTACAAGGCACTTCAGCTTTACAGTTTCTTGTCCAATGATTGTAAATAACGTGTACATTATAATTTTTGTACTTTTGCTCGTTTTCTATAATAAACGAGAGACAATTAATAAGAGATTGTAACTTCCAGCCTCTTTCACTGCCAGCTGTATAAAATCTCTCTTTCTCTCTCTCGGCTATGTTACATCCTTTCTTCCTGAATTCTAACCCATTCATCAGCCTCTGATGAAAACATGACAGCATTTTTATTTACTGCCACATTTTCATCCCTTCTTACAATCTATGTAAGTCGCTTCTATTGCTCTGTAGGGATCAACTAGTAATGCTGTCACAAGTAGGCTGACACTGAGTGGCAGCCAGGAAGTGACAGTAGTATAAGTTATGTTTTTCCGGTTTCTGATCATTATCAGCATCTTATGTTATCATGCCGCGCACATGAAAGATTGCTGGGGCAGTCTTCATAAGCTTTGGTTTTACTATCCTGTCTCATTCAAAACAGAAAACATAAAACTGTATCAAAAACAGACAAGCCAGAAGGTCGCTGGTTCAAGTCCCGATGAGGTCATTGGATTTTTTCAATTTATCTAATCCTTCCAGCTGCACTATGGCCCTGGGGTCAACTCAGCCTCTAACAGAACTGAGTACCAGGAATTAATTAAATAATTTTCCTGGGGAGTAAAGCACGACTGGCGCGTAAGGCTGACAACCTTACCATCATCTTTGAGCCGACTGTCTAGATAATGTGGGACCCTCAACGTCTCACAACCTATGGGCCTTCACGGCCTGGTACAGGAATAGCTTTACTTTTTTTTTTGTTTTACATAAGGAATCACGAGCATGGTATCATATTGTGGTTTGATATGAGACCTTTCTCTGCCACTAGTTTCTTGGAATTCCAAAGTAAGAAAGCAGAAGACTTCAAATTGTTCTTGTCTCTAACTAGCTCTAAGAAAGGTTAGTCGCCGGCTTCCCAAAGCGGCGGCCCGAGTTCGAACCCAGGTCAGGTCATGTGGAGTTTGTGGTGGACCAAGTGGCCCTGAGACAGGATTTCTTCGAGTACTTTGCTTTCCTCTGTCAATTTTCATTCCACCGACCACTGAACACTCATCATCTATCATCCGGGGCTGGTACAATAGGCCAGTTAGTGGCCTACATACCAAGTGGACTCAGTCTCACCCCACCCAAAAAAAAAAAAAACTTAATGAGTTATTTTGCGATTATTTTGATTTTCTTTTATCTGTGTTATGATTTTTACCCAACAATCACCGCCAAGTAAGTTGTTTACATACTCTTCTTCTTCTTCAGAACTTTTTCACTTTCATAAATTCTTATTTTGGAAACTCATTTCACAAAGGTATATTAACTGCAGTTTCAAATGATAAAATAAATCTAAGGGAAGGTAAGGGTAGATATGGAAGGGGGAACTTGTGATCAAACTGAATACATTATTTGGCTTTCTCTACAAGGGACTAGAATTACAAAAATGATCAGTCGACATAGCCAGTAACCCGGGCAAACAGATGTACTATAAAGTGTTAACAGCTGTGCTGATATGCTCCTTTCCCGGAACGAGGTTGCGGGGTTCGGATGAATGAACAAGACTACTACAGAAAGGAACAAGCCGGAAAAATGAAAGACGTTATGACGACTGTTGAGCCTCGAAACGGGTCTTTGCTGGCGAATTATTATTCCTACAGAAGAAGAAGACGTTTATAACTACAAAAAGATGAAAAGTCGTATTTATCATCCTGACATAATTTGCCTCCTCTGAAGTATGCAAAACCAATTACTGCAGTCTTTAAATATGCTGTAAGTCTAGGTAGAAGGAGCGCTGTTTCCTAAATTTATCCACCATATCAGCCTTTGTGGATGACGGGCAACTCCTATGAATTTATAATTTATAGTTACATTTTTATTCATATAATTTATAGTGGGAACAATATAAAACTACAGAGCAAAAATAATTTGAAATGAAATAATTCAATAATAAGAGCTTTGGACCTTGAGTTATCATGTCAAAGCACAGAGATTTTTTAACATCTCTTTTAACTTAACTCTAAGAATACACTATTACTCTTTTGTACATATACTCCTTTTTCTCTTTTTTAAAATAAATTTAGGAATGTTGTTTACGAATTAAGAGACGCCTTACACAATTTTTTTTCTCCTTAGTCTTAAGAGCTCCGTAATTGACTTCGGATATTCTTTTTTGCTGTTCTCAGACAAAATGTCCATCACTGTTGCCCTTTGCCCTCTGTTTGCAGCCCGTTACCACATTCGCATTCAGCCTTGGACACAATGTTAAATCTACTTAAGCTTGCGTTAAGACTGGAGTGGCATGCTCTCATACGGTTTATTGACACGAAGGTACGATGGTTCACTTTTACCTCGCGGAACCACGGAGACGAGCCATTCTTGTAGCACCTTTCACAGTAGCAGTCTCCTATATCCCTTTTGGTGTTTTGACATAAACTGTGAAGCTCATGTTTTACTTTCTTTTTCCACTGGCCTTTAAGATCTGCCACTGGTAATAACAGTCAGCTCTCTTATTAACTTCCAGCTCCACAGTTCCCTGGGATCCAGTAACACTGAATTATTTTCCCTCGCGATTCCAGTCTTTCTATTTTGTCTTTAAGCATTTGAGTAGTGTACGATGTGTTGTTCATAGTAGATGTGTTATTAATTCCTTTTAGCACGCTTTCCGAGTCCGAGAAAACCATGAAATTTTACTCCGAGTCTATTTTTAGACGATTTCTAGTGTTTCCCCAACTGCTAGTACTTCTGCTGTGAAAGTGGACGCTATGTACGTATCTTAGCTATCCTAAATTTTCAGCTAATGCCATCCCTTATATCAATCTCCGCAAATCCTATGAATGGTTTGTTTTCTATTTTTTAGCCGTCCGTGGCGAAACATACTGGTTCTCATTTTTTCGTGGAAATTATTTTTTGAATTCCCGCCTGTGATCCCCTGCTTCGTTTGCTTGTGTTTCTTCACCGTAGGATTGTACAACTATTGTGCATCACGCTGCCATCTTCTGTTTAAATGTTGGACTACGCTAGGTTAACTGTGACCACTGTGACGTTCTAGTAACCGTGATAGGAATAATGAGGAACCAATATGTGTCATGCTGCTGAAAGATATTAAGTACGTGCACAGTTTGTAATGAACCAGCTTTTTAATAATTACTTTACTGTCATTACAGGATTTTACAATGTATATCAGTTCCCGAAACTGGTTAGTTCGCTAACGAGACAAATCATAGATCAAAGGAACACATCCCAAAGTCCACAAATCAGATAACAGATGGAACTTCACACACTGACATCTATAGGAGGTACAGGAACGCAACTGGAGTTAATTGTAAACAGTGCTGAGGAACGCAGATTATTTCGTACTGTCGGTAGCAAACGGTACAAGGTAAACAATAAATGTATGCATTTTATACAGTGCTTGGGATGAGGTTCCAACCACAACCCAGGTTTATAAAATTTATGCATGAGGGGAAAGTAAACAGCATATTTACTACTACTAAAGCCATCTTTGCATGACAAGGTCAACAAGTCATTTGAGGTCACATGCCCTTCCATGAAAAGAGTATTGTGTCCTGAGGTCTGTTTTATCTCCAATATTATTATTCATATACAATTTAAAAAGAAATTATGCAGCGCAGTAGTTTGATAACACACTACACGTAAACAAGGCATATGAAAAAAAGTGTTTTACTGAGAATATTTTTCTGTACCTTTCAAATGATTAACATTATTAGGCTGCATGCAAACTTGGACGTATTAAGCAATTTTTAAATGTTTTCCAATTTCAGTTTTAATGCTAGGTATGGTGATGAACTGAACTGCTACTGCTTGTATTTTTATTTTGTTGCATGCCAGGTAAATCCATTTGGAGAATTGTATGATTAATGGTACTGAAACAGCAAAGACATAAAAGTGTCAATTATAAGCTACTAATCCACAGGAAAAGGTACCCTCAATCTACAGAGATCATTTCTATGAAATATATTTCATTCCTACTGCTCTAAAAGAGCTGCATTAACACCTTGTGTCCTAACACTCATTTCAGGTAAGCAAGAGCCCAAAGAGCTATGCCACACTTAGACTTTGTGGCCATTTTCAGACAGCTGTAAATCTGTGGCTATTTGAGTATGATAAACCATTCAAGTTAGTACTCTAGGGATTGGGAGATTAAATTGTGGCCATTTTCAGTGAGTTTTAAACCTGTGGCTATTTAAGTATGATGCACCATTCCAGTTAGTACTGTAGGAATTGAGACATTAAATGAATTTGCGAAGACCAGAGACAATGGATACTGAAATATACAGAAGGCTGCTTATTTCTCAGAAGCAGCAGTAATTGGAATGGTTGAGAAACTCTGTTTTCAGAAGGACATTATTTTTACATAATTGCATTAGTATTTTCCTCTATAATACAAAGACCTCTCATTTACATGAATCCCAGCTAGGGTAATAAAATATATCAATATGGGCAATCAGCAATAATCAAACAAGATGCTGTTGTGGACAGCACCTGCCATCTGCACGTGAAATCAGTGACTTAGTAGGCTGGGTTAGATAATAAGTGTGACTATAATCACAGACATATTTATCATTGAATTCTATATCTGTTTTCATGGCAAGAAAACAAACTGCAATTTTGGTAAGATAAACAAGCTGATCTAACCAGGAAGGAAGGATTATGTGGGATAAAAGACCACCTTGTGCAGCAGGACATTGGGGGGGGGGCATGACTACAGGGATGCACTTTAACCATTCTCTACAGTGACATAACAAACAACCATGCTGATAATGCCTTTCTGAAAACCTTGCATGTATCTTGAAGAATCATGGGTTTCCTTCTGACCCAAAGGATATAGCGCAATCAATATTGCTTCTCCCAGACAGATACTGAACATTATGTTAATCAGCTTATAACAGAAATTATGTTATGCTATCAAAAGTGCAAATTAATATTTTGTTAATTGTGGAAGTATAGATTAGTGCAATCAATATGACTTCTACCAGACAGATACTGAACATTATGTTAAACAGCTTATAACAGAAATTATGTTATGCTATAAAAGGTGCAAAATAATATTTTGTTAATTGTGGAAGTATAGATTAGTGCAATCAATATGGCTTCTACCAGACAGATACTGAACATTATGTTAAGCAGCTTATAACAGAAATTATGTTATGCTATAAAAGGTGCAAAATAATATTTTGTTAATTGTGGAAGTGTAGATTTAATAAATAAAAAGCATACAATCGTCACAGGAGTATTTTCTTTGGACATTATCCATTGCCTGGATAAATATAAGAGGAAGAATGTGCTCCAGTTTATTTTGAGGGAGCCTTGATGTTTTACAACCCTGTGGGCCTCCACGGACTGTTACAGGGATAGCTTTACCTTTACTTTTGCTAGTGAGATATTGCAGACACATATCAGTAGTTACAAAGCTAATCATGTTGCTGATATCACACTTTATAAAATGAGATTGTTTTATTTCATTAAAAATTAATCACAGCTGACTGCCCATCACCCACATACACAAAGGAATATACAGCAAGGGTGAACAACTTCATTAGAATTCTAGAAATAGGCCAAAATATTTATGGGACAGAAACAGGATGGTTCCCAAAGAAATGCAGCCAACAGTCCTCAACCATTACTTTGAATTACTGACTTCAGTGTCATTAAAGATCTGGAAAAACAATTCAGATCCAGAAAATATCATCTTCATCTAGGATGAGCAGAATTTGTTCACTGCAGCAGGCAGCAAGATTAAAACATGCCTTCAGCCTGCTGCTAAAATGTCACAGTAAATAGTATAAATTATAATAAAGTAATAAGCACTACACCATGAAGGCGTATGGGGGAGTGGATGTATAGGTCCACATTTTCTTAACTTCGGCACTAGTTGGAGGTGAGTGGTCAGCTTCACGCCCTGGCTGCTTTGCCCCTGAGGAAAGAGCCCCCCGTACCCATTGGATAGCAAGTTGGGTAGATTCCAGGGCCAGTCTGGATGATGTGGAGAAGAGAAAATTCTTGATCCTACAGGGACTCGAATTCCAACCCCTCAGTCCAGCCCACAGCCAGTCCCTATACCAACTATGTTATGCATAACTATAATAACTGATGAAAAAGTAAGAAAAGAGAAGTGGGAACTCTATTTCATGGAATCTGGAGAAACATTAAGCATTCATAAGAGAAAGACATTCCAGCAGTCAAAATATGAAGGGAAGAAAAGATAAAAAAAACAATGGAAACATATGAGTAAGTTACTGAGATTTAACTCCCCTGAATCATTGTTCATTCATGTTCCTCAAAAGTTTTTGAATAACATCATCATTAATGTCTTTGAACAAACTACTTAGATTTCAATATGACTGACAAGAGACTCTGCCTCTTTTAAATGGATCCAATCAAAGGTAAGTTTTTCCCTGTCTTGAGCATCATGCTCTAAAAATACAGGAAACTGGAGGTAAAATTTCATGCATTCTTAATCTTAACTCTAAATGGAAGTGATTAGTCAGGTTTACATATCTGTCCCTTAACTAACTAACTTCATGTACTTCAGCACTTCTTGAGAAGAAGCCAGTCATGCAGCTATTCAAGAACTTCCCATCATTTTATCGAACCCGAAGTTTCATTACCATGTTCACAAGAGCCTTCCACTGGTCCCTGTCCTGAACCAGATCAGTTCAGTCCATACCACCCCATCCTATCTCTCTATATGTTTTAATATTATTGTCTTGGTCTCTCTCCTTCTGGCTTTCCCACCAATATCCCATATGCATTCCTCTTCTCCCCTATTCATGCTACATGCACTGCTGACTTGGCAAAAACTACAAGTTATGAGGCTCCTCATTATGCAGTTTTCTCCAACCTCCTGTCACTTAATCACTCTTTGGTCCAAATATTCTCCTCAGGACCCCATAGCAAGCATTACCTAGATGATGCAGTCGGCTCTTAATTCCCTCATTAATCACATTCTGATTTGTTACTGTCATTCCCAAATATTTGAACTTTGCAACGTTTTCAAAGATCTATTACGTATCTTTATGTTATGATGATGTCCTGTATTCTGGTGATGAGACATCAAGATATAGTTAGTTTTCTCTGTGTTTACTTCTAGACCAAGCTCTATACTAGTGTCTGTTTGAGCTTCTTTCCTTTCTTATGGTATTTATGTTATACCCCACTGAATTATCATCTTGAACACAGACCAGGCATGCAACAGTGTAGTTAGTTGAAGTACTACGCTACAAGCTGGAAGGTCACAGGTTCAGTTTCTGATGTCATTGGATTTTTCAACTGACCTAATCCTTTCAGCCATACTATGGCTCTGGAGTTCACTCAGCCTCTAAGACAAATGAGTACCAGGATTTTTCCTGGGGGTAAAAGGCACACAGAGCATTAGGCTGACAATCTCACCACTATCTGTGAGCTGATTGTATAGAAAAATATGAGAACCTCGACATCTCACAACCCTATGGGCCTCCAGTCCTATTACAGGGATAGCTTTATTTTTTTTACCAACATTGACTCTTTTTGAATGAAATGTTGGTATTTTCTCTAATACTGTGCCATGCTCTCTATTGATATTCACATCATCTAAATTTTCAAAGGTGTCAACCTGGTTACTGTTGTTTGCATTCTACCTTGGTTAGTTTCTTGAGATTAAGTCTCTCCATATCAAACTTTTATGTTCCTTATTGACTTACTGACAGTCTCTCCCTAACTTTTACAACCACCAGATAGTGATTGGTATCACAGTCAGAACCTCTGAAAGGTCAGGCATCAAATATACTTGAATGCTGACTCCTGTCTATCAAAATGTAATCAATGCTGTCACATGTTTATGGCTTGTATGCCTTATCTAAAGATGTTAAAGTGAATTTATGAAAGTTGTGATGGGAAACATGAACTCTTGACAATTTTGGATGTGGCACAGTTTACTACTCCACTCCATTATCATTACTCATCTCATGTAAACTCTCATTCCCTGTTGTTGGTTTGAAAATATCTTTTCAAACAAACTCTTTTGACAATGAAACCTAACAAAAATTGCATGTGGTACTTAGAGAACTGCTTAGAAACTGTTAAACTGTTGTGTTGCATAGGATCCATGAAAGATATATATATATATATTACACATAATTATGAGACAAGTGTGGTGGTAAAGGAAACTAAAACAATAAGTTGTAAGAAAAAGTAAAGTAATTTAAAATAACTTAAGCTGGATTAACCTCACCAGAAACCACTTGGGCCAGATCACACCCTGATAGCTGTTTTACTAGTCTGCTTGAGAGATGTCTTGGTTTAATATGTTCTCATAGATGACTGTTTGAGATGAAATGGACAAAGAAAATTGTGTTCAGATTGATAATAATAATTAACAAATTAATTATTCAGGAGTTATAAAATGTGATAAGAGTGACAGTATGGTATGCCCATAAAATTCTTTTGATGTGACACTTTTGTAAAGAAAGGCCCCATAGTTCTTAGTACAGAAAACTGCCCTTGGTCAGAATTCCTTACAGCAAAATGGGTTGGTCTCTTAAACATAAAAATCATAATAATAAATAGCATTTGATAAGTCTTACCTTTTAAATCTTGAGTTCCTGGCAGCTCAAGGTCTGTTCTTCAAAGATGACACTGTACTGCAATGGATCACATCACAAAGCAACAGTATGATGTGCCATCTTCATAGCATAATTAATTTTGCATATTACAGTCCACACATTTTGATTGTCAGTATGCACTGGCAATAGAAAACAGACTGTGGTTACACACTTCACAAACACAAACTGGTTGTTATTCACAGCAGAATTATCACACAGAAAATGACTGTCAGTAGAAAACCAACTGTGGTTACACACTTCACAAACACAAATTGGTATTCGCTGAAGAATTATCACACACGAAATGACCGTATCCGATCAAGTGTCAACCTGCACCCTTATTATGCACAAATGAGATCAATGAAAACCATACATTTTCATATTACTGAAAATTGTCGAATTGAACAATCTTTTCTGCCCATTAAACACAATTTCTGCTTGCAGAAGCTTAGGTCTTAAAATGCCATGTTGCATGGGAGGGCTGCACAAATTCTGAAGATTATGTCAGCAATAGAACAGGCAGCTGATAAGAGGTGTCCATTATGGGTCATATTCAGCACATTCATGTGGATGAATCAGTAAGATTGCTCTTTATTTCAGATACAGTCCCAATATTTTGTAATGTTTTATGAACATAATAATCACTATTTTATATATTTTTTTCTTTGTACCTTCTTTGCACACAGTTCATGAAATAAATGCATATGAGGGGGCTGCATCTGTCTACTTCAATCTTTCATTGCCTAACCATTTGACAAATTTGTATTAAATTTGGTATGGGAGGGGATCTGCAAGAAAAATCATGAAGCAAATTTAATTTCTGTGCATGCCAGTCAGTCAAAATCCCTACATTACAAGGCCAACTTGAATGTCATGCAGGGAAGAGTCATGTCCACATGAACTTCTGTGATGAGGGCAACATTAAGAATAGTATCATAGCAAATTCATATCTTTCTGTTTCTAGCAGTAATAGATAAACCATTCTAGCTAGATATGTGAATGCTCAGTTTCAAATATGCCATCAAATTCTGTACAGAACCTTATCCACTGAAAAAACATATTCATGGTTATGGTTTGAAGTTTAAATTGAAAAGTCTGTAGTAACAAATTATGCACAACGTATATATGTACGAGTATTTATAACCTGCTCGGCCTCCTATCCAGTGAGTATCGAGGGCTCTTTCTCCTGGGGGTGAAGTGGCACGTGTGAAGCTGACTACTCACCGCCATCTACTGTTGAGGTCAAGAATGGTGGAGCAATACCTCCACCCCACCATACATATACTCTGTATATTACTAACATAATGCCCCTTAAATTTCATCAGGAAGCTGTTAAAAACAAGCCTTGTCAAAAATACCTAACCTCTGTAAATAATGGGTTCTGGAAAGACAGCTAGCTACGTTTATACCATTATACTAACATGATGGAATGACAATACGCACTAAATTGTGCCGCCTTCTACGGAAAATGATTTTCATAAAGGAAGAACATTAAAGCAAAGTTCAAACTATTTGACGTTTCATTCTTTCACATCGCGACCAAGTATAGCAGTCAGTGGCTAAGCTATCTGGCCCTTACATGCAAAATAAACACTGTCAGATCTTATGTATTTAACTGATATGGTGTGGCTCTTACACTACTTCGACACTGCCCCCCCCTCTAATTCCGTGTTCCATTTTCCCCGTGTCCGTAAATAAAAGGTTCTGGAAAGACAGCTACATTTAAAACATGATACTAACGTGATGGAATGACAATACGCACTAAGCTGTGCTGCTTTCTACAGAAAATGTTTTTGGTAAAGGTAGAACATTAACGCAAACTTCGAAACTATTTGATGTTTCTTTCATTTACATCGCGACCAAGTATAGCAGTCAGTGGTTGAATTATTTGGCCCTTACATACAAAATAAACACTGCTAGATCTTATGTTTAACTGATACGGCGTGGCTGTTACACTACTTCGACACTACACCCTTTTAATTCCGTATTCCATTTTAAACTTTCCCTGTATCGTGAGTAGAACGTTTTTAAGATGCGTCAACACTAGGTAGTGTCTTAGATCGCTTTCATCATTAAAACGGTAGTAGATTCAACTGTCAACATACAGCGAGAATCAGAGTCGCCATACCGGAGATCTCGTTGAACACACATGACTTCATCTATAGGGTTGCCTACTCAAGAGATTACATACGCTCAAAGATGTCTTAGAAAATTATTTATTTGCAGAAACGTGTTTTTCTGAATGATCTCAAATTCGATAAATGGGCAGATGCTTCGATATATTCCCATCCCTAGCCACAACATTCACAGCTGATCCACCAAATCAATCAATATTATACACGAAATCATGATTTGACTGACAGTATCCACGCTATCAAACACGAGACATTCTTTTCGGGAAAACATTGGTAGTTCTTCCACTGCCGCCTGGCGGTCCATTTCTTAACTACCACTAACAACAATGACTTCTGTATAAGGATGAGGGCAGAATAGACAAAACTGTAATTCGTATAAGAATATGACAAGTTAAAAGATATACATATAGCGTGACAATTTTGGCGCTCTCGCTCGGTTATTGTCTCTAGATTTCTCAAGTTACGACAGCATAAATATCGCTTTCATGTAATTTCGCGAACATAATATAACGTGGGAAATTGTATTTGGCATAATGTGGTTCATGTTTTTATACAAATTAAGTTCTATATATATTTCGCTTGGATAAATATTTCGCGAGTTGCGCTCGATATTGCCGTAAATTAGTATTTGTGTAAAGAGTGTCCAATTGTAGTCAGATTTTAACTAAAATCGGAAAGGGTTAACAAATTTTAGTAAAACTGCGCAATATCGGGTTTCATTGAAATCCGTTCAACGGCTCTCGAGTTATTTCATGAGGATAGAGACACATGGAGAAGCTGAGTGACTTTTTTTGTTACTTTTAGTTGCAAATACGACGAAAAGGAGACAAAGTTTAAATTTAATGAAGTAGCAGTTGTAGGGGTACGATCAGTTATATTTCGGTTAAATGTATATATGTATCCATTCTCGGTGGTCTAGTGGTCAGAGTGTCTGGCTACAGATCCAGAGGTCCCGGGTTCGACTCCCGGCGCTACCAGATTTTCTGAGAAGTAGTGGGCCTGGAACGGAGCCCACTCGGCCTTGTGAGAATAACTGAGGAGCTGTTTTAAGGATACAGCGGCTCCGGTCTAGAAAACCGAGATTAACGGCCATGGGGATCTGTTGCACTGATCACGTGACACACTGTCCGCAAAAGTTGGCACTAACCTCGCCGACAAGCGGCTGTCGCTCGGTCGGCAGCCACGGAGTTTTTTTTTTTGTATACTTATAAATTCATCTCGGAAAACATACAGAATAAATGCATATAGCATAAAATGTGTTTCATTCTTCTCTGCAAGTTTTACCCTAATAAATGTCTACCGACTTACATTCGAGAAGGTCATAAACGTATGTAGATCTGCATGTAAAATTGGATTTTAACCGAAATTAGAATGTCCATGATTCATTCTATCCACATTTGTGCCGAGGCATGTAGTGAGAGTGAGAGGAGGGGATAGATGAATGTATGCACTGGAAGACGGATAGAATGAATCATGGACTTAAATCACTGCAACAGGACGCTAAAATATAACGAAATTAGAATGTGTTAAACTTTAGTAAAACTTCTCAATATCAGATTACATGAAAATCTTTCAGTAGTTTTTGAGTTGTTACATGCAGACAGATATACAGGCAAGGCATTAGTATCATTTTTGCACTTCACATTGTGAACATGCCAAAAGCTAGCCCGCTGAAACTAATGTGGCAAATAGTTATCATCACAGTTGGTCATATTGTGCTTATTTCACTTTGATCCACTCTTGGGCAACGCCATAGCTCAAGCGGTTAGTTGCTCGCTTCCCACCATGGTGACCTGGTTTGAGCCCAGGTCTGGTCAAGTGGGATTTATGGTGGACAAAGTGGCACTGGGGCAGGTTTTCTCTGAGTACTTTGGTTTCCCCTGCCAATCTTCATTCCACCAAATTCTCCATCATCATAATCACCCGGTGCAGGTACAATAGGCCAATCAGTGGCTGACATGCTGAGTGGACCCAGCTGGACTCCACCCCCTACTGTGCAAATTAAAAAAAATTGATCCACTCTTACTGATTATGGCCCTTGAGGAACACTTTGAAATCACAGTTTCACTAAAATTAAAAATATGCACTAAACGATGCTGCTGTATGGAAGCACATTACATGTGGTCACATTACTTATTCCACTGTGATTCACTTTTACATATTATACCCTTTGACTGGCATTTTGAAATCACCATGTCACAGAATATTCATGTGAATCCAAAGAGTTCTGGAAGAATAAAAATGTACTAAATTTTATGACATAACAATATTCACTAAGCAGTTCTGCTATCTAGAAGTACATCATGAAAATTTTTGTTAAAGTCGAACACTGGGATACAGTACAAACTCAAGCTTACATTCCATTACTGTTTATTGCTGTCATCTCATGGTATTATTTATTAGCCACTGCTAACTCTGATAACATACATAGTGACTAAAGAGTGGCATGCGTAAAATGGGTAATAGCTGATTACTGTGGCTTGTGTGATCTTGGACCACTGAGACACTGAGATCATATGTTAAAAAACCACTTGAGGTACAAATGTTATGCATGTTTCTACCTTGTGGTGTGAGCTACTGTGTATGTAGAGATATTACAGTGAATTTCTCCCTCATCCAAGGAGTCCTACCAGATGTATAACGATTCATAGTTTCTGAAGTTAATTCGAACTGCATCATGCTGGAGAGTCCAAACCATGAAAGATGATGGTGGTGGTGATAATGATTATGATGATGACAGTAATAATTCATTCTTTATTTATGTATGCATATACCTGCTTACTCAACAGCCAAAAGGCCAATTATAAAGTAAGCAAAACAAAACCAACACATGCACACAAACAACAGACAAAGCAAGGCAACTTTTATCAATTAGGCAGTAGCAAAAAAATTCAGAAACTGCAGTCAAACCAACCATTATCCAGTAAAAAGCAAATGTATTCACTTACATTCATATTGATTGCAATTAATTTCTTTAATAATTTAGAAGTAATGTTTTAAAATATGATGAATAAAAACAATTTTTGTTCCAAATATGTCAATGCAACCACAAACCACATTAGCAAGTGAAGTGCATCTAACGTAAGTACAGTGTTTACTTGAGGAGCAGATATTGAACAAAGACAAATCTGATATACTGAGCAGGAACTTCAAGATCAGCAGTTTCCAAAAGATAAATACAGGATTTAGAACCAAGGTGAATAAGGAACACTGAATCAGGTTGATAATCCTCTTTATGTTAGGCGTGCAATTTTGACTGGTCTGAAGCATCAGCAGAACTGTAATGGACATCAAGAAAGAGGTTGAAAATATCTGCTGGTCTTTTCAGTTTGTTGGCTTTAGTAGACAACAGAATTCAAAATGCCATAAGAATATTCAAGCTTAGATCCAACTAGGGTAAAATATAATAGATATAGACATTTGAGGGATGAGAAAGATAACGTTACACTGCAAACTAGACCCAGTAACTTGATACACTGAGAACATATATAAGTGACATGATTATATGAATGAAATTTAGAATACATAATGTTGTTCAGTCTAGAAAACCGAGATTAACGGCCATGGGGAACTGTTGCGCTGACCACATGACACCCTCTATCCATAAAAGTTGGCACTAACTTCGCCAACAAGCAGTAGTTGCTTGGTCGGTATAGTTATCTTGTGGACTATAAGCCACGGAGTTTCTTTTCTTTCTTAATACATGTAAAGTTTCATATGCAGTTAGCGGTGCATGAACCTTGTATAGAATAAATGTAAGACTCTTAGTAGATTGCAGTCTTCAGGATATTTAATGGCAGGGAAGATGCTGATATCAGCAAAAAGTAGATACCTAGAGTAGTTAAATGCATCACGTAATATGACAACAACAAGCTTTCTACTGGCAGTTCCATTTTATGCACCTTTTTTATATTAACATTTGGAAAAGGATGGAATTATTTTAAAGTGACTAAACTGATTAGAGGCAGGGAAATGTGGATTTAATTTATGTGTACTGAACCAAAATCCTCACAATTAACATTTGAGAAGCTGAAAACGTAATACTTTTCCTAATTCTTCATTGTCTTGATACAGAATACTAGGATGATAGTTATTGATCCAAAATGAGAGAATGATACCACTTTCCTTGAATTAATCTCTTTTATTTGTCTGAAAACACTGATATTATGAGGTTATTGTGAATACTGAAGTGTGACCCAAGGTTGTCTAAAATGATGTAGAATAGTGATTATGACTAATTTTGGACAGTGTCCATCCTCTTAGATCTTTTAAGTTCAGTATTTCAGAGATGGCTTTGTCTCCATCATCATATGTTAAAGAGTGGTTTTGAATTTCTCCTCAGTTGCCCATTAAGAATAATTAAAGATTATTAATTAGTTACAGTAACAAATTGTTAAAAATATTCTCTCTGTTCCAAGTGTATGAAAGGTTGGGTTAATACCAGGGGTCAAGTTCAGCACAAGAAATGTTTGGATTTCAGATTTTGTGAAAACAAAATAAGTTATGCTTTCCATGTCTCATGTTTCCGATGGTATTAAAAACAGTTGAATTAAAAATACTGGCAAATATAAAAATGCTTTGCATGAAAATAAGAAATGGAATAACAATGGTGGATTATTTTGCTCATTTTATTAGAAGGCTGATTTGCCCAACTGCCTAGCATACATCATGATCTAGGCAAGGAGTATGTTTCAGTTTTTATCAGAAATAGATCTAAGAAACAGTAAAGCCTAACTTAACTAAGTTTACCTCATTTAATAAAGGATGTAACTATCACCAAAATGACATTTAATGTTATGTCACACATGAATGTGCAGTTAAAAATGAAGTATTCCTTATTCAAATCCATTGAAGCACAACAAACTTACATCTTTTGCCAATGATCAAAGCTAATATTTTTTTTGTTTAAAATATGTATTTGTCCTGAATACCACAGAATATTCTGCATGCTGCATTACCTGGGTTTCAGAGATAGTGAAACATGGCTGGGGAATGGAGCAATACACTGTTGTGATGTGTTATGACTACATGCTTCCATATGCTGCATGCACAATGTAATCTGTTCACAGTGAAGAATGCTACAAATATTAAATAAATGAAGAAGATTGACAGTCTTCACAAAATGTGATTCAATATATGCACATAAAAAATAAAATATAAGAGTATAAATACAAGTATTATGTTTTTGGACATTGTGTTTTAAAAAAGAAACAGGATTTTTAAAAAAAAATAGACAAGATGATGGATAATATCAAAAAACATAATACTTGTAGCAATACACCATCGTCACAAACTTTTAGATCTTATAAGAATATAAAATTTATAAAACATGGGTGGATATGATTCACAACCATGTGGCTTATTACTGAGCTGTCCAGTTCACAGCACATGGGTTGCATGGGTCTACATGTCGTTAATAATGCATGATTTATGGTTGTCCCTTTATACAGATGTAAGAATCTAAAGGAAAGTAAATATCATAAGTTTTTTCCCATAACTTGTTAGTTTTATTGGCATAAAATACACTTTGCTGCATTTCCTTTCCCATCAGTTACATTAGAATCCACTGATGATTCACATCTGATATTTGTTGTTTCACACACAGACCATGGAGGATGATTCCTCATATAGCAAACTTCAACTGTGTCTCACATGGAATAGTTTCACTGACAACATAGTCAGTTCCCTGGAGTCTTCTTATGGTGATGGTGACTTTGTGGATGTTACATTGGCTTGTGAAGGGGAGAGCATCAAAGCCCACAAACTAGTTTTGTCTGCTTGTAGTCAGTACCTGAAGAGGCTCCTTAAGGTCTGATATTGTCAATAACAGTTTTAATGTAAATATAGACAGTTGTTTTTCATTCACATAATCAGATTTCATCACCTATAAATTATGAAACTGATGCGTCTAAATTTAATAGTTGTTATCTTTATCCGCATAATTTAAAATCGATACTTTACTATTTTGTAACTTAAGAATGGTAGAGAAAAAGACGCAAAAACTGGTCATACAGCAATATAAAGAATCAGTACTAGAACAAATTAAATAAAAGTATCTCTTGTTTTTTCACTACCACATTGTTGCTATAAATCTTGAATCAGTACTAGAACAAATTAAATAAAAGTATCTATTGTTTTTTCATTACCACATTGTTGCTATAAATCTTGACTAATACTCATTTATGTACTACTGGCAGTACTGGTCACTCAAACTGTATGTTAGGGGTGAAAAGATAGAGTTCTGTATATAAGAGTAAACTGTAATAAAATGTAAATAAGGAAAATGAACAAAATAAATTGTTCCTTCATGAAACTCTGAAGGAAAGAGTTAAAAATAGTGCATCTTGTACATCTGTATGCTGTGAAATTGTTTAGTATATCTGTGACATTCTTACTGCTACTACCTAGTTAATAATACATTGAAATTCCATTATTTTGAATTCAGTAGATCTCATGAATTCTCATAATTCTTTCAATTGTTGGTACATTGTGTTTATGTGTGTTATTTGTCTGTTGTCTTATTGTAGTACCACTGCCACCAGGTGAAAACCCATTTGCAGTTTTAAATTTGTAATAATAATAATAATAATAATACATTGTGACAGCACTGATATTTTGAAATATGTTATAGGATGGGCTTTACATCTTACAGTGGATGCTTAGGTCGAGTTTGAAATTATAAAATTGTTTCTCACATTTGAATGAAAAAAATGGGCTGAAACATTCACAACTGTGGAAGGGGCTGTGTATGTTTTTGTGTTCTAGAAAGAGCTGTGTTAGTGCTAAGTAACCTGACACAAATTACTTTGTTGAGAGATGTCTGAAAGAATTGAAGGCAGTGTTCCTTTGATTATTTTAAAATAATTTCATGCATATTGGTTTTACATGTTTAATAGGAAAACCCATGTCCACATCCAATTATTATTTTGAAGGATGTTGGCTTGGCAGAATTAAAAGACCTGTTGATTTATATGTACCATGGAGAAGTACGGGTTGAACAAGAGAGAATTGCAAAACTTCTTCACACAGCTCAGATCCTAGAAATACGAGGTCTGCGAGACATCAACCAGAAACTTGATCAGGAGTTGGACAGTGGAGTAAGTAGTCACTCAAGTCAAGCTGGACACAACAGTATCATTACCACTGCCAGAATTTTAATTTAAAAGGAGTAATATATAAAGCTGTTTATCTGGGCTTTGTCCATTTTCCTAGTTCATATTTGAAAGCCATAACATTCTGGAACCAGTTTACATAACCATTTTCAGGTACAGAGGGTATAAGGAAATTCCTGTTCTCTTAGACTCCTAGATACAGCTACTCTCATACCCTGGTAGAATAGTTCTATGTCATTGTGGATAGACAAAGAGTAAATATTTTAATTAAAACACAATTACATTGTGCAATTGAAAGGAATGGAATTGATACTGACATCATAAATAAGAATGTAGATAGTAGTGACAATGTTGAAAGACAAAGGAGATTTTCAAACCAAAACACACAAACCAGCAAGAGAAAATTTAATGGCTGTATATAAGAACAGTGTGAATGGAACAAAACGTCAAGAGAGGCAAAGTGCTCTGTGTGCCGAGAATTCCTAAATCCAGTGGTGGACAGATGTGGCTAGGAGGCAGACAGTGGCCAGGGGTTGTGGCCATGAACAGCTGTTCTGAGGCAGTCTCTGGCCAGTAAGGATGTTGAACATGGAAGGTGAAGAATCTGTGGTGTTGGGAACCATTACTAAGCAATACATAGTGAAGACACAGCAGACTGAGAAGGCTTAGTGCTTGCTGTAGTGTTGTTACATGTATAAATCCATAAAATTCTTATAGTTGATTGTAATTTGAGTTTTGAGTGTCCAGCAAATTCAATTACTAATCCAGACTTTGTGTGTAGTCACTTAACACATGACAATATCTTTAAGAGTCTGGAAACAGTACCAAGTTCTACAGAATCTGCCTAATTTCATACTGGATTTCTCTATCTAATGTGTTTGTTTATTTGTACATAATAAAATTACATTTTGCTTTAACAGATAAATGAAACAAGCAGTTTAATAACAGCTGCATCTGAAGGGTCTCAGAATCAAGATACTTCAACAGCAGATGAGTATAATGGCAAGCAACAAAACAGTGTCAGCAATAACACATTGACTGTCCAAAGAAAATTGTTGTCCAACTCAAGCAAAAAGAGAACAGCTTTACATGCAAGATCAGTACTGAAATCTTCAGTTGGAAGGAAGCCTAGACCCATTCCAATGTTACAATCTATCCAGCAGTCTGGGAAAATGGATGGTAATGCTGTCATGCCTATGTCAGTAGACAGAGATGAAGATGAAGGTGGAGGAGAAGAATCCAATAACTCATCACTTGCACCAGATCATGTGAGTTAATATGTATATCTGAACACAAAATATTGCATATTCTTTGGTGTGTGTGGCTGTTGATTAGCGACATTTAAGTCTACCAGAATTTATTATATGAAAAATCCTGGTACCAAAATTTTATTAAATCTTACTATGGGAATAATTTTTATACAGAGGTGTAGTTCATTTGACAAGATGTAAAGCTAGCTTGCTAACTAATGAACTAAGTAAGTAAGTAAGTAAATAACTAACTAACTAACTACCTGTCTGTGGTAAAAGAACCTTAAGGTTCAGTACCACTAATACCAAAGTCTGCCTTTGGACAAAATCCTGATCTAACTCGATTCAGCTCCCATCAACACAGTATGTTTTGTTAAGATTCATCTTGAATGTTATCCAGCCATCCAGCTCCTCCTTGGTCTCTTAGTTGGATGCTTTCCAGCACGTTTCCTACCACCAAATTCTCTATGGACTTTGTGTCCACCCCACTGAAGTGACATACCCAGCCCACTGTAACATCCTACAGGGGTCACTAGAAAGGTTTTGAAACAGTGAGTGGAGCTGGAGAAGCTAAGGGACCTGAATGCATAGTTAGTTAGTTAGTTATTGGAGAGGGTGGGTTTCCCCATGCACTTAGACCTGTATTGGTCCATTGTGCTTCCCTCTATTATTTCTACCAGTCTCTATATCCTACTGGTACTGGTGCTTACCATCAGTCCCGCCCAGCCAGCGAGACCAGCTCTACTAGCTGAGAGGTATCTATAATGCTTCCCCCATCTACCAGAGGTATTAAAGACTGCTGCTGGGCGGGAAACATCCGTAATTTGGCTCAGTGATCTCCTTTGAAGATATGAGGTTCTTTTACGTGCTGTAAAGCTACGACATGGGACCCACGGCTTAAAGTCCCTCCCGGAGGACTTGTTCCCTGAATTTTTCCGCCCTTAAAAATTCGACGACCTCCGCCGGGTATTTGAACCTGTGTACTACGAGTCATGAGGTGGGAATGTTACCTCTAGACTACGGAGGCCGCTGACCTGAATGCATAACTTCAAAGTAAAAGCTAAAGTTAAAAAGGTGAAGTTGTCTCTGTGCTTAATTAATTAACCACCATCCCACGAAAACCTGTGGAGGAATGGATGTATAGCTCCACAATTCTTGACCTTGGCACTGGATGGAGAACAATGATCAGCATCATGCCCTGACTGCTTTACCCCTATGGAAAGAGCTATTCCTCCACCAGTACCAACTCTGTAGGAGGCTTGGTAGGCCCAGAGCTGGTCTGGACAGTGTGGAATAATGAAATATCTCTCGACCTTGCTGGTAATTGAACCCTGGCCATCCAGCCTATAATTCATTTTTATTCCAACTGAGCTATCAAACTCTCATAGATTCAAAGTGCACTCCTAAATCCTCAACTTAACTAATTTAAAGCCCTGAAGAAGCTGTAGCTGAACTTGAAGAGGAGATTTGCAGCAGAGCCATATAATGAGAAATGCGACAACTTCCAGAGTTGTTTCAGGAGAATGGATCTTTTCATAGATAGAGGAAGGATGAAAACACTTAGAGAAGAAATTCTTGAAATAAAGATATTGTTAGGTTTGTTGAGTCTCATAACTTTCAACGTCATGTACATAGATTTCACTACCCTAACAACTACTGAAATCCAGGAGATTACCATGAACACCAGACACATTATGGTCACGAAGAAAGAAAAAAGGAATGAGGTCATATTATCACTCATTCACTGAAGTCAGTTGAGTTCCTGTTATCTACTCTAAAATTCAAATAAGGCATTGGAGTGATGCTAGTTGTCCAGTAGCAGACTATCCCAAGATGAGAGTTAAACTAATCATTGTCAGTCATCTTTGATACTTGTACATACCATCGATTTTCTCTCCTAACATTATACTGTTAGTAAAAATTGTTAACATTTTCATTTTTATACTCCTTGTGTATACATTTTATTATAGTATATATCATATAATGATATATATATATATATAACATTGAAGCACATGAAATATGATATGTAAATTTCCACTTCCAAAACAAAAGCAATGGGATTCTGTTGAAGAAAACATAAAAAGCGTCAGACCAGAAACTATAGGAAAAATTATAGAACAAGATATAATTTTAATTACTTAGGGTATCTAATATCAAATGAAGATAATGATGTTAGTATAAAGCTACAAAGATATATAAAGTGAGTGGTACAATTAAATATACAAGGTGCGACAATTTAATTCCCGCAATTGTCCTGTGAGGACAAAAATGCTTACCTGTCCACTAGCAGCTGCTGTTGCCTTCAAAATACAATCCTTGTGAAGATATGCACTTCATGAGGCAATGGTGCACCTGCCAGAAAAAGTCTTGAAAATAGTTTGCCAGAATACCTCACAGTAACATTATATTGCATTGGATATTATGAATGTCAGCAAATCTTTGTCACTTCAGGCAAGATTTTAATTTTGGAAAGAGCCAATAATTGCAGGTGGTTAAGTGAGTGAATAAGATGGATGGTCCATTTTTGTAATGGATTTCTTAGCCAGCAACTCACAAACTCTTAAAGCATCATGTGCTGGGGCATTGTCATGGTGGTGAATCCACTTATCAGGCTAGAGTTCAGGTATTTTCCTCTGAACAGACTCCCATAACCTTGTCAGCACTTCAAAATAACACTGTTGATTCACCATTTGTCCTTGTGCAATGAATTCATAGTGGACTATCCCCTTGTGATTGAAGAAACACAAGCGTGGTTCTGAACTGCAAGTGAGACATTTGTGCTTTTTTCGGCCGAAATGAATTCTGTGTTTTCCATTGCATGCTATGGCATTTTGTTTCCAGGTCATATTGAAAGCACAACGTTTCATCATTAGTAATGACCAAATCAAACATCTCTGTATTGTGTAAAAGATCAGATGAAATGTGAAGCTGACGTTTTTTCTGGTCATCTGTTGAGATTCAACTGTGTAGAAATTGTTCTCATTCCAGAATCATCCGTAATAATCTGTCGCACTGTTTTCCCATTCCTATTCAATTCTCTGCTATCAGAGTCACACCTAATCTCCAATCTGGCACACCAAAGTTTGTTCTCTGTCCACATTTGCATCCGTGCTTTGCGTTTTTGGCTGCCCATTTCTTGGGTCATCTTGCACATCTTCTTGCCCTTCATTGAACCACCTTTACCATTCAGAAACACTTGATTTCTTCACAGTGTATTCACCATAAGCGACTGTTAACAGGGCTAACGTTTCACTAGCACTTTTACAAATCTGCACACAAAACTTGCTGTTTATCCACTGCTCCAGATTCTTGTCATTCATTTTTCCACCAACAAAATACTGTGGATATTTGCTTCTTCCTCTGCTGCTTGGAAACAAATGACTCATCTGGTTTGTGGCTCATGTAAACACAAGTTGGAACATGTCCAAATGTGCTTGGGTATATGAGTTTGCCTAACTCAACACTCCAGCAACATACTGCGGCCATATAGGGAATTAAATTGTCACACCTTGTATCTTCTGGAAACACATGACAACAGAAATGATATTATAAATACATGACATTACTTCTGAAGCGACTTTGTGTGGTGGTGAAAACTGAATTATAAACAAGAGAGATGCCCAAAAACTGCAAGCTACACAAATGAGATTCCTGAGACTATTATTAGGCCTTACAAGATTGGGCCACCAGAGAAATCCTGACATTTATAATAGGTAAAAAGTGAAGAACCTAACAGAAGACATAAAGTTATGTCAAAAGAGCTGGTTAGACAACCTTGAAAGAATAGACAGAAGCTGCTTACCCAAACTAGCTTTTCATTGTCAACCCTGGGGATGACAGGATACTGAAGACCCAGGAAAAGATGGAAAGATCAAGAACACCTTGAGCTTTAAAGGAACAGGTCTGAAGACCTAACTCTGGTTTCTGTTCACGAAGAAGAAAAGAAATATATGAATAAGTGATGTGAAGCTTTCATGCCAGTATTCATAAATTTAGATTTATTTATTTATATTGTACCACATTATATTATATTTATATATTTGTTTACCTAATGTTTGATTGCTAAGCCTTCAATTTTGCATGGCTTTTGCAGACAGTCTTTCTAGATGATGTCAGAGTGAAAGAAGAAACTCCAGATGTTTCAGAACAGTTTGAGTTTGCAACCAATCAGTCATCAACCCTGGATGAAAACTCATCTGACACAGATCAGCGTGGGTTCAACAATGGCTTTGCTAATCCCTCAATGGTCCTGACACTTGGTGGAGGGTCTTTATGTGGTGGTCTTCTGGCAGCACAGATGCTGAAGAGAGTTGCAACTAGGGCATCCAGCAGTAAGATTACATTTTCACACAGCAGAATTATATTCTTGGGGGAAAAATTAGTGTGTTTTGATGCAATATTGATATTGGCAGAGGTGGGCAGAACACGTAACTACATGGGAGGAACAGATGCATACAACATTTTTGTTGTGAAACCTCAAAAAAAAGGGGTAAGTAAAAAAATGTAAAGGTATCCCTGTAACAGGCCAAGGAGGCCCATAGGGTTGTGAGGTGTTGAGGTTCCCACATTTTCTAGACAGTCAGCTCATAGATGACAGCAAGGTTGTCAGCCCTATGCACCAGCTACCCTTTATCCCCGAATATTCTTGGTACTCATTTCTGTTAGAGGCTGAGTTGACAGGGCCATAGTGGGGCTTGGAAGGATTAGGTCGATTGAAACGAAATCCAATGACCTCATCGGACCTTGAACCCATGACCTTCCGGCTTGTAGCATAGTGCCTCAACCAACTACGCTACCACAATCCCCCCCAAAAAGGTGGTGGTGGGGGGGGGAATGTTGTAAAAATAAGTTGGGAGGTCATATTTTTTGTATGTAAATATAGCAATTGTGATAAGATGTATGGTATGGTAGCATGAGCACAGTTACCATAACTATAAAGTTATCAGGATGACATTGACAATAAACATCATTTGTAAATAGTGTTAACAAACACCAGAGCCAAGCAGCATCCAGACAGCTACCAGTGCGGATATTAGCAGCATAAATGATGTACTTAATTCTATTGTCACATGTTGCTGAGGATTTCACAGGATTTGAATGAAATTTGGTTTAAAACAAAAGATCTCGCATAGTTTTCTTTATCTGGCAGATATAATCCGAAACATAAACTTTTAATTGGAATTTAAGGGGTCGTTTTATGCATGGTGTATGTGGTTGTGTAGGGGAGCATTCAGTTGTTAAAATGTGATATTTTTGTTCCCAACTCACCCACTCAGGCATGAAAGTTTGTGTGCATTTTCAGCATATCTGTCCTCTGCTACAAGCTTCATTTCTCTCTTGCATATAAACTCATTTATGACTAGATGAGCACCAGAGAGTAATTCATTAGCCTTTAAAGAATGGAGTTTCTCATACATTTGTGCATAAAGATTTCCTTGTGATAATGATGTCAGATCATATGACAGCTTCTTATTGAGAGCCATTCTCACTGTAGCCAGGTTGGCCCTTTTATGAGTATGAGACAGGTTTACAGATGTACAAACCTGGTGATGAAATTTTTGTATCCATGCATGGGTGTGTCTGTGTATCTGTAGGTCTAGAAGGTTCAGGCATGAACAGATCTCCAGGCCTATTCTGTGAAAGAAAAAGAAGGGTTATTTCTTTCATTACAATTAGTTTATGTTGTCAACTGCTAAGATATATAAGTGTAAGAAGTTGTTTGGTGTGTAACTATGTTTAACTTTTTTCAGATGAAGGTGTATCAGTGGTAAAGGAGGCTGTTTCACTGGGAAACATAGTTGTGAATTCATCAGTGGCAGATCAAGGTAAAGAAATTAAAACTGTCATGTGGTACTCATTTATTATGCTTTTACTAACAGATTAAAATATACTCTGGTGTACAGGACCTGCACTCTCACTGTTATGGCGTTCAGATTCGCTGTATCCTGACACTGTCATTAAACCGCTCAGATTTCCTTTAGATTCTGAATTTTAATGCCTTAAGTTTGGTAGGGGACATTTAATTTTACTATGTTTTAATGTGGCAAAAAGTTATGAATAGTGGCAGTCTGACTAAATTACAATTGCAGAATTCTGCAGTTATCTGTCATAGACTCTAGTATGAAAGTATTACAAAAAGCTATATAAAGAGTGGGAGTTCCCTTTTATCCAAAAACAAGGATTTAAAACTGAGGAGTCATGTTTACATTTTCCCTGAAAGATTTCACACTAGTGGTAACAAATTCCTCTTTACTGCAATGACCACATCATATTGAATTGTTAATGATAATGATGTGCAGGTACAGGTTTCTTCATACATAAAGCGAAAGCTAAAAAACCAATCCCTGTAACAGGTCGTGGAGGACCATAGGGTTGTGAGACGTCGGGGCTCCCACCCTATCTAGACAGTTTACTCACAGATGGCTGTGAGGTTTCAGCCTTGCACGCTGCTTGTCCTTTATCTCCAGGAAAATTCCTGGTACTCATTTCTATTAGAGACTGAGTCTGCTCCAGGGCCATAGTGCAGCTGGAAGGATTACATCAATTGAAAAATCTTTTTTATGCATAAATTGGTCATATCAGCAGTTAAAAGGGTAGAGTTTTTTAGTGATACGATGCTGTACATCATGCTAAGTGGGTCATGTGGTAGCATAGTTGGTTGAGGCACTATCCTACAAGCCAAGACTGTGCCATAGCTCAAGTGATTGGTCTCTGGCTTCCCACTGCGGCAGCCCGGGTTCGATCCCGGGTCTAGTCAAGTGGGATTTGTGGTGGACAAAGTGGCGCTGGGGCCGGTTTTCTCCAAGTACTTTGGTTTCCCCTGCCAATCTTGATTCAAACCAAATTTTGCATCATCATAATCACGCAGGGCAGGCTACAATAGGCCAATCAGTGGCCGCCATGCCGAGTGGACCCAGTTGGACACCACCCCCCACTAAGTGAATCCTACAAGCCAGAAGGTCACAGGTTCGATTCCCAATGAGGTCACTGGATTATTCAATTGACCTAATCCTTCCACCTGTACTATGGCCCTGATTGACTCAGACTCTAACAGAAGTGAGTACCAGGAATCTTCCTGGGGGTAAGGTGGCTGGCACATAAGACTGACAACTGCACTGGCATCTGTGAGCCAATTGTCTAGAAAATGTGGCAGCCTCGACATCTTACAACCTTATGGGTCTCCACAGCCTGTTACAGAGATATCTTTACCTCCTAACTGTACATAATACTAAGAGGTTGCTGGTGTGATATCATTATTCTGAATATTCATGCCCCAACAGAGGATAAAGTTGATGATATTAAGGACAGCTTCCATGAGGAACTAGAACATGTGTTCAGTAAATTCTGTAAATACTGTACAAAAATTTTGTTAGGAGATTTCAATGCCAAAGTAGGTAGGGAAGACATTTTCAGAGTTCCCATATCATAGCATTCATAAATTTACTTGGACATCTCCTGATGGAAAAACTCACAATCAGTGTCTTCGGATGGCTGGAACGGAATTTTACAGAAGGTGAATTTTCAAACTCCAAGAACGCTGCGATTAATGTGTACAAAGAAGTGGCGATTATGTGGAAAAATAAAGAAAGGTCTGTAGATTGAGGTGGTGTATTTGGTTTGTCAAAAATAAAGCATGTTACTTTAAAAAAATTGATGCTCATGACTTTCAGTACGACCCTCGTAAATGCAGAGAAAACTAACTATGTCAACAGAATACAGGGCAAAATCATGACATAAAAATAGCTAGAAGATGCTTTGAAAATGTGGCACAGTTCAGGTATTTTGGAGTGACAGTAACAAATCAGACTTTGATTCAGGAGGAAATTAAGAGGAGATTGAATTTGGGTAATGCTTGCTACCATTTGGTCCAGAACCTTTTGTCGTCTTACCTGCTGTTTATAAACATAAAAATTAGAACATACAAAACTATAATTTTGCCTGTGGTTCTGTATGAGTGTGAAACCTGATCTTTGACTTTAAGGGAGAAACACAGACTGAGGGTGTTGGACATCAGAGAGAGAGAGAGAGTAACATGAGGTTGGAGAAAACTGCCTAATGAGAAGCTTCATAACTTGTACTCTTTGCCATGTATAACTAGAATAATCAAGTCAAGGGGGATGGGATGGGGAGGACATGTAGCACAAATGGGGGAGAAGAGGAATGCATATAGGATATTGGTGGGAAAGCCAGAAGGAATGAAACCACTAGGAAGACCAAGACAATAATCAAATGTATCTTTTAAAGATAGGATGGGGTGGTATGGACTGGATTGATCTGGCTCAGGATAGGGACCACTGGAGGGCTCTTGTGAACATGGTAATGAATTTTTGGGTTCCATAAAATGCTGGGAAGTTCTTGAATAGCTGCACAACTGGTAGCTTCTCAAGAAGGGCTCAACTCCATGAAGTTAGTTTGTTGGTTGGTTACTTAGTGATATATGCTGTTATTTGTCTATCACACATGCACGTTTTCTTAACAGCGGCTTTTCATGTAAAAATCTGATCTGTGATATAAAATATAGATATCATTAAAATTTTCAGCTTTTATTTTAAACACTTTTCAATGTGGAAAATGTCATGATATATATAAAAAAATCATTGATGATTATATGCATTGTGATTTGGTTTGCAACAGTAGATTTTATATGCAGTAAATGAACATCAAAATCAATAGGACATGCAAAATTGTACGAAGCACATTTGGAATATTGTGTAACCAAAATTTGAGAACCCCTTTCCATGTTTGTTTTTAGCCTACTTTACTTTATTGAGGAAAGAAAGTAGGTTTATGTGATCGCCATGCTGGCTGTGTATCTCTGTCTATATGGCTCATGTTTCAGTTGTTGAATCAGTTGACCAATTTAATGAAACTTAGCATGAACATTATGGCATTGGAGGTCATCCAATCGTACTTTTCAATTTTCTACTATCAGTAATAACATGGTGTAGTGGCAAAATTATGTGGGAGTGACATTGGTGTCATTTAATTTAGGATCTTGAAATGATGTGTAGTAATAGAGCTTTTGAAACATATGTGACTTTTGTTATCATAATTTTTTGTGGAACGTAAAATAACAGTATGGTGCTCACAGAATTTTTTTTTCAACTTTCGGTTTCATGTTCATAACTACTGAACCATTGGAGATAGTCATGTGAAATTTGGTACAGGGATACATCATGAACGTACCTAACATGGCATTTATAAGATACTGTTTTGTTCAGCAGTTGTGAGATGGTGAAAGTGCAAAATATTTTGAAGTTATGTCTGACCAATATGGTGTTTGTATTTAAGAAATAGAATACATTCTTTGCAAAAAATAAAATATAATAAAATGAAAATAAAAACAACCACAATGAAAGATCTGTGAGACTAGACATATTATATTGTATAACATGGTAGCAGTTCTGTGAGATCTCTTCAGAGCTCACTGTTAAATAGATCAGATCCATAAATTCATAATCTCCAGATTCATAATGAGCTGACATGTAATAGATTAGATGTACAGACAGTGTCATTTGTCAGGCAAATGTGGCATGGACTGTTTTTCACAGTACACTCTGTTTATGTTAACTGAATCCCCAAACTTGGAGCTCATACAATAAGCAGTTTCTAGTCATTTGCATATACTTGCAAGATGTTAGCTGAAACATGAAATATGAAGATACATGGTCAAGAAATTCTGTTAAAAATGCAATGGATTTAAAATAATCATTCTTTATAACACACTGTTCAAAAACAGAAAATTGTGATCCTATGAGTAGGACCTCTAGGTTTAAATGTACAGAGTTTCAGTAATCCAGACTCAATTACTTAACCTAGAGGTAGGATCTAGTGATTCTGCTGTCACCAGAAATACTGTATGGCCTTCTGTGGCACTAAATTTATTAATATTAGTTATGCAAGTTAAAATTTGAACTACAAGGTTATACTTCTTTTGGCTTATTTTGGACTTCACCCATCGTCTGGTATGTAAAAGACAAAAGACCATGATGTTTCGGAGACTGGATCTGTCTCCGTCTTCAGGTGGATAGGGAAGGATAAACTTACTCGGTTGGGCCCGTTAGAAAGAGCTAGTCTCAATCACTGGACGATGGGTGAAGTCCAAAATAAGCCAAAAGAAGTACAGTATACACCATCGTCAGAATCCCTTCAAGTCTATACAAGGTTATAGTTGAAAACACATAAATTTTTCATCTTTATTTTACTGCAAGTCTTAATAAGACACCGTAAATTTACAAAAATGTATGTCTAGACCCCTTTGCTCTTTAGCCTTACATGTATGTAGCTAAATGATTTGTCAGTAGTGTAATGTAGTTGGTTGAGGCAGTATGCTACAAGCCGGAAGGTCGCGGGTTCAAGTCCTAATGAGGTCACTGGATTTTTTCAATTGACCTAATCCTTCCAGCCGCACAATGGCCGTGGGGTTGACTCAGCCTCTAACAGAAATGAGTACCAGGAATTAATGAAATAATTTTCCTGGGGAGTAAAGCGCAGCAGGCACATAGGGCTGACAACCTTACCGCCATCTTTGAGCCAATTGTCTAGATAATGTGGGACCCTCAACGTCTCACAACCCTATGGACCTTCACGGCCTGTTACAGGGATAGTTTTACTTTTTTTTTTATGTGAAGAAGTAGATTTGCAACAGTAACACTGCAATAAATCGATGTATGTCAGCCATTATACTATATTTTTCCCGTAAGTCTAATCCAGTATCCCAGTTCTGACACTTTTTCTCTGTTCTAGCCTAAAAGTAGGCAATGTACATGGTTCTGAGGAGTTCAGTAAAATAATAACAGTTTTAAAATCTTCTTTTTTTTTTTTTAATATGAGGCATTCCAGCCATTACACTCGAAGTAATAAAAACCCTAAAGTATAACATGTAGTAGTTAGAAATGTTGTTTGTTGATTTACATTTTTCAGTCCTGTAAGGCAATCATCAGGAGCACAGACTGTTTAGTATACATTAATTTCTAGCAGTAACATTTATGTTTATATCCCTTTATAATTGAAAGTGTAGTAAGTTCTTACTTGTGTATAAATTGCCACTGAACTGCATAATTTTATAGATATTGTGGCTTCTTTTGGTGTTTTTTTTTCTATGTAGATTTTGTATATAACATGATTGATTTATTGATTCATTGTCTGCAGTGGTGCAGTTAGTTATTTTTCTAACTTGCATTGGTGGGGCGGGGGATATTACAAAATTTCTTTATTATAAATTTCATACCTGTTGATCACTTACTATGGTATGCTGTATGCTGTTCTGGTGGTGGTCAGTGTCAGCAGTGGTACTGTGCATCAGGTGTACGTAGAAGTTTTTGTTGGCGTTCATTAATTGCCTCTTACCCCTCCTTTTTATGTGTTGGATTAAATCCATTATATTTCCCATTCTACCATATTAGTGTTTGTTGTGTGTTGCAAATTCTGATTCTTCCATATGGTATTTTGTACTTCTTGTATGATGTTTATATATATATATATATGTATAGTGATCTTCCTTTCTGTCCAATGGATGTAATGTTGCAACCTACACACGTGAGTTTGTATATTCCTGATTTCTCATATTTATGAGATTTTGGTATCATGCTTAGTAAATTTCTTATTGTTTGTTGTTTTATATTCTATTTTTATGTTTGTGTTTTTAAGAAGTTAACAGTTCTGCATATGTAGTTGTATTTTTGTTCTTATATTCTCATAGAGAATTGTAATAAAATCTAAGGCATATGTTATCCAATAAATAAAGTTTATAATTACTACATGTTATACTTGATGGTTTTTATTAGTTCATTATAAACTTTAAGATATTTTCAGCAAAGTGGCTGTTCTGAAACTTGGCAGTAAAAGGTGTATTTTATCCACTGAGTAAACTAGGGCTGGGTGACCTTCTTTACCAATATCTGAAAATATTACACTTATCCATATATGTGTGTTCCCTGAGGTGTTGGATCGTTTTTCATCCCCCACATCCAAGCCCATAGTACCAGATTGGATTATAAACCTAGGAAAATACGAGACCTTCTTCATCAAGTAGCAAAAGATACACCATATAAAATCCCTAGAAAGTAGCCTTTTTCACCAATACTTCATGCATACATATAAAAACAAAATATTGCAGTATCCAATGTGCATTAGTAGCTGTTTAGCAAATAGAATAATTCAGTTTATCTTACACACTGAAATCTTTGTGACCACTGAAAGAGCTTTACAGTGGATTTACAAGATGCAAGGCCATCCCAAACTGTAGACAGTTGGATGTGGGGTTTGCAATAGACAGATCCATATAGGGATATGTTTTTTCCAAGAACTTCAGTTCTCCCTGACCACTGTCATTCTTTCACTGTTTCTCGTTCATCAGTCACCCCATGTGAGGAATGTATTAGGCCCTACCAGTAAGCATGTTATAATGTAGGCTCCCTCTCCAGTTATGTTTGATTCACTAAAGACTTAACTAAAAGCATTAAACAACAGGTCCAGCCTATTGAAGCAAAACAATGGCAATTTAAATGTTCGATCATATCCCCTAGCCTCATCTGTTATCAGTGTGCAGCTTTTACTCCCCAGCTTTGTAGTTTGTATGCACATTTTCTTATAGTGCTGCACTTACTTCCCATTGTGATACATAAATGTGCTACACTTATTTTTCTATAGATGCACTAAAATATGATTTGCATTTAAAAGCCATATTTGATTGATAAATCATGTAATTTTCAAATGATGTTCCAAAGTAGCATGTTGTTTTATACATTTATTTGTTCTTTATTTTATGTGAAAATGTCACGTTTCAATATTTAGAAGAAAGCTCGGTTGAAATGTAAATTCAAACTGGAAACCAGAAGCTACTAATTACAGTAAGGTAAGTGTTCTTTTGTGCATTACTGTTATTATTACCATTAATATTAGTACTATCACACTTTCATTATCATTATCACTATCACTTTCTACGTTGTATTATTAATTATTATTATTATTATCATCATTATTATTTAGTTAAATATTTATTTATTTTTATCTTTTTAAATTTTTATTTGCATGGTGGGAGTAGTTTCCTAAAAATATAAAGACAATCAAGTATGGCAATATTAGGGATGTGCAAAACAAAACACCATGGAGCAGTTCGAATTCTTTGTAATCATTTGTGCACATTCTATTTTTAAATATCAGAGGTTTCCTTTTGCTGAGTGAACATGAAATTCATACTTATAAGCGCACGACTTGATAAATGGGTAGATATATTATACATAGTGATCAAAAAGCCCGTTTACCAGACTTTGTGGTTGAGTACGTAAATACTACTGCTTATTCAGAAGATCCATAGTTCAATTTTTTGGTTAGACACTAGCTATTATGACAGGTTTTGGTACTTTCCCCTCAGTCTAACCAGGCAATGCTACTTTAAAAATTGGACATAACTGCTTCCCTCCACATCGTTTCAAGTTTAACATTCACAGTCTTCTTACCATTTGATGCTATAAAGGTAGCACACTTAAAAAAAAGCATTGTTCAATTATCCAAGAATAAGAACACCCAGATCCCTGTACCATTGAAAATTCCGTGAGTGCTGTAGGACGGGCACTGTTAGAAATGGCTCATATGACTTTTTAACCTTTGCAGCTTTTTTGATAGTGGGGGGGGGTGTAGTCCAGCTGGGTCCACTTGGCACAGCACCCACTGATTGGCCTATTGTACCTGCCCCAGGTAATTATGATGATTGAGAATTTGGTTGAATGAAGATTGGCAGGGGAAACCGAAGTACTCTGAGAAAACCTGCCATAGTGGGAAGCCAGTGACTAAAACCTCTGCAGCTTAATTATTAAATGAAATCAAATGTCACAATAATCACCATCCATGGATCTTTTCACATAAAATGGCCCGCTTCTTGTTTTTTAATACAGTTTCTTGCATTTGTTGCAGCGTTACTTTCTTTCTGTGTCTCAGGTTACACATCTAGTGTTATCTTCCATTGGATGACCGTGACTTATTTCTATGTCTCAAGCTGCCTGTAATGTTCTGTCATGTTTCTATTTACACAAAATGGCCAAAAATTTTTACATGAGAAATATTTTCACAAAAGGCCTTATTCTAATCTTTGCATTATCCTTAGTACTTATAGTATACCTTGCATGATGAAACCTTGCAAGTTAGTCTATTGTACATATCCTAATAACATAAACTAAAAACCAAGTACATTATTAAAAGAGAGAGTTGATTAGGATCAGCATGTAGTGGATATTCTTGGAATGCATATAAAATGTGTCTCAAACTTGTCCCTTCATCTACCATTACTATGAATTCTGACAGCCCACAGTTTACAAGCATTTGGTGTATGAGTGTAATATATGATATATCATGCAAGTGAAATAAGATTTTTAACGCTGCATGTAAAGCTCAAAAGATTATATATTTTCTTCATTATATGACATCAAGGAGAGTATACTTAAACTACTCTAAAATACTTGTATATTTAATTTGATTTCATGTCTGAAAGAATTTTTGCGGTTTTGCACATCCTTGATAATAAATGCAAATCATAACATTGTTCGTAGTACTCAAGATTTATTCTAGAATGATAAATGGTGTGCTTTACTGTATTAGCAGGGTCAGCCACCAAGACACAAGAGGACTCCCAGTCTGATGAAGTGACAGTATCATTATTTAATGCCGGAAGTCAGCGATGGAAAATGTCATCTAATGCTACTGCTCAGAGTTTGTCGCCATCAGAAACTGATAAACAAAATCAATCAATGAGCTTAAAACCATGGGAAGTATTGAAGTTAGCTGATAGAAATGATGACAGACAGAAGACTCCTATAAGCAGTGATTTATCTTCAGACAAGTCTTATGAAAATCTAACAGAAAATATGGACTTGGACAGTTTGCATTTTTGGAGAAACAATTCATTCCATCAGACCAGTGATCAACAGGCACACAGAAATTCAAAACAAACTATGGATATAGAATTTGTGAGACCAGGAGAATATGTGCAAAAAGAAAGGAGAACATCTTCAAAATTCCAAGCTATTGAGCATATGCTTAACATAACCCCACAACTTCGACTCCAGATGCTAATGTGCAGAGAATATAAGAAATACACCAATATACTGCTGGTGGCCATGTTTGGACGGGATATGCTAGCAACACATAGTCTTAATGGGACTGGAACTTCAAAACCAAAACTGGATGGTCAGAAAGTGAATCATGTTATAGGTAATATGCTCAACTTAGTAGCAATCATATATATCTATGAAAGTGTAAGTACCATATTTCATTTCAAAACCGAACACTGTATAGTCAAAAACATGTCTGTGATTTGTGCAAGGATTTATGAAAATGATCCTTCACGGGAAATGTAACTCTTGTCTATTAGGCCTACCCAGAAAAGTTAAACATTTTCTCCAAAAACTAAGTAGACCCTATGTAAGATTAGTAAGTAACAAAACAGTTTATTTTTTATTTAAATTCCTTGTGTATTTATTAAAATTTTCTTCATGTCATACCTATCACATTTCTTTATCTTAGCATGGCATCATTCGCCACACCTGAATGGCTACAAGGTATGCCACAGATCGTGATGGTAATAATGACTATGCCAATGATGTCTTCCAACTTACTCCTCTCTTTAGAGGATGCAGCAGGTTTCTCAGAAACAGTGATAACCACCTATAAGGATACATGATGCCATAACTCAAAATACTAGAATGGAAATTACATTTTTTATGTCATTTTTAATACATAAGAATGGAATTCAAGAAATATATTGGAATTGATTTCTCATAATGTCATTACAAAAAGTGAGAATTATGCAATGAAATATGGTATATCCTTTTCTTCCTTTTCTTGCATGTGAAGGTCTGTTATGGAATGAAATGATTCCAACACCAGCATGCCACTTTCTATTGAGGAAACTTATTAACAGTAGTACAGAAATTGTTAATATTGTCACATGTTTGAGGTGTGACTATAGATGGGGTATGGATTGGTGATGGATTTATTGATTAGTTATATAACCCACAACTCGGAAGTAGACGAAATTACAGCACTATCACTGATTTCCATACTAGCACATGATAAGTCTTCCCAATCTTCACTAGTCATATCCTGGCAATGGATTTTGTGAGTCTCACTGTTACTGCAGCACACATTAAGTCTTCTTTTCATAGCCACACTCTTGCAGCTAACTCTTTTCTTCACAACTGAACTTTCAACTCTCAACTAACTTATAGCACCATTTTCTCAGCCTCCCTTGCAGAGCTCAACTGAACTGGACCAGCTGTACTCGTTTGTTTTGAGGTATTTGCTTAGCAATGGGTCTGTATGCCATTATATTTACTTAAGGTGTTCTTGCCCATGTGCTTAGTCTGTGAAGCAAGAACTGTATTTCCTACTCATAGCATGTTGCTGCACTGTCTATGCAGTATGATTTTTCAGTGGCATGGATACTGCGCCTTTTTGCAACCAGATTCTACAGCTAGTGATGCATGAGATCTTTTCATTATGCATAGAAATGATCTGTGAGGTATACAGAACTTAAATATCCAATTTTTTTTGTTTAACAATGTTTGAGAAAGAACAACTAAAGTATGAAAGTAACTTATTTTCACATTGTTTTGTGTACCTTTGTAATCCATGGTAAATTAAAGAATTTATCACCTCTAACCAGGACAGAGGTACATCACACACAACCCCAGCAATTTCACATGCTGCTGGAATGAGGCCATTCTTATTGAGAAAGAAGTGATCGCAACTCAACTTTTTAACATGTGCCACTATAATCTTAACAAAAGACATAAACATGTAAATAAATTTATATATAAATTTGTAACATTTTAGGATCTTTGCAAATTTTTAAAACTCAGTCTGTATCATAATGAATTGTGTTGTTTAAATTTAAGAAACTGGCAGTTCAGGATTTGTGCTTTTTAAAAAATGAAAACCATCTCATGTGCAAGGCTGAATTACTGCAATGGCAGGTAGTGTAGGGAAATAATCACTCACTATATGAGATATGTTCTTGTGGTGAATATTACGATCTGTGGGACGTGATGCTGTGTAGCTGTACCATTTATATGGCATTCCATAGCAGTTTTAATCATCCAGTGCTTAGAAGCACCTCCATGTGTACAAGACTTAGGAATCTTCATCTTGGAATTGTCTTTGGGGATATTACTGCCCACCAGGTACACATAAAAATGAAAACATGCCTGTCAGTTTCCTACCATAGACCTAACAGAGAATTCCCAAGATGCTGTCACATATTAGTAGTGACTAGACATTCGGTTGGGATTGATAACTGAATTTATTGGATGCTTCTAACTCGTAACTACAAATTATTATCTCACTATTTCATACACTATATAAATCACTACAATACACACCAGGTCTTCTGTTTGATTTATTGCTAAGGAAACGTGTTTTCGGCGCCGTTGCCTAGCAGTGGCCTACTCTTCTTGTTATACTATTCCGGCTTTCAACCATCATGTCACATTTGTCCCTCCTTAAGACTGCTTGCCCCAAGCAGCCTACAGACCTACTGTCAGTTCTTCTCTGAAGGGACGTGTCTGTAACATCTCTGATCTTCCTCGTAAATGGACCTCAATGTCATGACGGCCCAAACGCTCCTCCTTCTAGTTTCCACGATGTCCAGCTTTCATTCCTCACGCTGCTGTTCCCAACTGCTGTTTCCTCCTCAGGGCTGCTTACCTTGAGCACCATTGTACTTTTTATGGGTGCACCTCTCCTCAATGTGCTTCTATGACCGACGGTCTCTAGTCATCGTTACAGGCACCTCCCTTGAGGCTTGGACAGACTTTCTCCCTTTAGCTTGATGGGCAGCCCTGGAACCTGTCCATATAAGGTTATCCACCATCTTCAGGGGCCCTTCCAGCCACACCACCGCAACTCTACCACACCAAGCTGCTGCTACTTTGCTGTTGCTCTTCTTACAGGGGGTTGAACGCGGTCACACCCTGGGGTGCCACAGTGGCACATCCTCATTGTCCAGTCGTATCAAGTGCCACCTCAAATCCATGCATGACATGGAGTCCCAGGATTAGTTGAATTGAGGGCACTGGCTCCTCCAGAATGTCCTGGCCGCCATATTCTGGACCCTAGAGGGTGTTATGGCTGCCTCCAGCCTGAGGAACTGATTGCGGGCCGCACTGAATGTTGGTAACCCCAGCTGCATTTCTTCAATCTTCATGTTCAGTTCCTTGTGGAGGCCTTGTGTCCATTGGTCGACAGATGCCAGGTCGGCTTCTGCCCGGTCTTTGATGGTCTCTTCCAGTTTTAATTGAATGGAAATTATTGTGGCCTTCATTTCTTCCAGGCCAGCTTTCATTTCTTCTTAGTTGGACTTTATTTTGACTCTCCTCGGTCCCTGGCCAGTCTTTATTATGGCCTCCATCACTTCTTGGCTGGTGCTCATGGTGGTGTCCAGTTGAAGCCTCCATCTTTTATTTATTTCCTTCAGTCTTTTCTTGAATGGTCTCCATCTCTTCTCACCTGGCTTCCATCACTTCTTGATTGGCCTCTGTCATGGCTTCTGGCCTTTCCATGATGGCTGTCAGATGTTCCAAGTCTACTGTGACTTTCCATCATGTGGGTTCTAGTTCATTGATGCACATTAAAGTAAGTTCAACAGTTCAATCCAGTCCTGACATCAGGTGTCACATGTTCACTACCAGATATGGGGTTTGGATTGATAATTAGATAGAATGGATGCTTATGACTCATAACTACAAATGATTATAACAGTCTCACTGATTTACACACACTCTAAATTACTACAACTACAGCACATACAGTCTTTTGTTATTCTGTCACTAGTCATTGATATGTAGCAGCTGCTAACAACAAGAAATCTCATGGCCAACCACAAACTGCCACTGCTTACTTGCAATTCACAAGTCTTAACCACTCACTACAACCTGTGGGCACTGACCACACAGAAATTAATTCCTAATCTGAGTATCAATTGTGCTTCTAAGTTTTAGTTACTATATATTGTGATATTGACACATGAACCAACCATAACCTGGGAAAAGAAATGGATACTTCTGCTTATCTATAACATATTGCTTTCATTCAGTGTCCTGTCTGGACTTCTGTATCTCTTGGTTGCTATGCAGCCAACAAACAATACACAGTGTGTTCTGTGTCCACTGCTGTTTTGTTAGTTTTGCATTTATCTTTTTGCTTTTAAATTTAGTGATCTGATTGCTTTAGAGGGATGGTTTGAGTGACATTACATACCTGAATGTCTGAAGGTAATGATTTCTGCCAGATTTCATGTACAAATACAGTGATTTTCAAGTTTGGTAGAGGAGTAAGTATTTTTTTATCGAATACCTAACAGAATGTCTTTCCTCTGTTTTACAGATGCAGTAATGGCCAAATTTGGTGTAGATCAGAACCATGTCAAAGAAGCCATAAGAATAAAATTGAATAATGAAGACAAACTGAGGAAAAGACTAACACAGAAAATTTCCATTGGTGTAGGCAGTCTGTAGTAATAAGGATAGTGACTAAACACAATAACCATTTAAATCAGACTTATCATTTATGTAAATATATAAAGATATTTCATTAAATATGGTTAAATATACTATTGAAACTGGCTTCCAGGAGGACTGCAAGGGTTTGAGGATCTGGTTTATTATCCAGTAATCTAATCTGTGACATTGCAAAGGAGTAAATTTTATTCGGTCAAGTTAATGTGTTTCAGTAAACACCTTGACATTATACTACAGCAATCCCTCGTCAATCATGGGTTACATTCATTAAAAAAAAACACTGCAGTAGGCAGTAGGTAAGGGTTTGAAATTAATTAACAGAAATCCACATGCACTTAATGTTTTCACAGCAGTCCAGATTAATCACATACAGCATACACAACATTTCTGTTTCAATAAGTGCATCCTGTTGTGTATCATATATTATTTTCCTACTGAAAACCGTCACAACACAACATCAATAACACTTATAAGCAGCTCTAGAAGATAACTTTGCTACATGTTTCGGCCTTCTGTAAGGCCATCATCAGGCAAATACATTAAACCTCTCATTATTGAACTGCATGTTAAATATAAGTCACAGTGCTAAACTAGACATGGGCCAATTCGTACGAGCCACAAATGAAACGCCAATCAAACGAATGGCGTCATTACAGGTTACCACGAAAATCAAAAGTTTGTCAGAACCCTAGCAATGTGAAAGTTATGGTGATTCTCGTGTATGACTGTGATGGTGTTATCCTAACGCTTACCATTCCCCGACAGCAGACCGTCAGTGTGCAGTATTACTGTTCATTTTTGGAACACACCCTGCGACCAGCTTTGAGAAAGAAGTGGCGACACTTTCTGCAGAATCCACCCATCATTTTGCAGGACAATGCTCGGCCGCATGCAGCACAAGCTGTGGCTGATTTGTTTGATTGATGGGGCTGGGAAGTGCTGTACCATCCACCATACTCCCTGGACTTAAGCTCTTGTGACTTCGACTTTATTCCTAAGATGAAGGAATCACTTCGTGGCATTCGCTTCAGAACTGTTCCAGAGATTCTTCAGACAGTAGACCACTCCATTTGAACTATCAACACAACAGGCGCTGCTAAAAGTATCCTACGACTTCCACATCACTGGCAGCGGGTAGTACACAATACTGGTGACTACACTGAAGGACAGTAAAACTTCGAAACATGCATCTATTTTGTATCAGTTGTAAATAAATAGCTGCCACTATTAAAGTTCCAACCCTCGTATATACTTGGAAGTTTAGCACTGCGACTTATATTTAACATGCAATTCAATAACGAAAGGTTTAATGTATTTTCCTGATGATGGCCTTATAGAAGGCCGAAACATGTAGCAAAGGTATCTTCTAGAGCTGCTTATAAATGTTATTGGTGTTGTGTTGTGATGGTTTTCAGTAAGAAAATAATACTGTCATGATCTTTCTTAAAAGAGTTTAGAATTTTTTTTAGGTGGCCATCTTTCTAGACCCTTTTCTGCAGTGAGTTATTGCACTGAGAACCTCTGTGTGGACTTAATGCCATGACTTTGGATACTCAGCAGTTGCAAATACTTCCTAAAGCATAATTATTTTATACATCGTCCACTGTCTGAGGTGTATTTGATACACAGGACATTCTGGGACTGGTGGTTGGGGACAAACGCAGAACCTTTTGAACACTAACCTTGCATGGTAACCACAAGGCTCACAGGGTACCATGGTAGCTGGGATGTAGAATGTATATTCAAAGGGCTCCAGGCTTGATCCTGAATTTTTCCAATAATTTCAAACATAATATCAGTGACAGAAAGATGTCGGTGTAATGGCACCTGATCACATGAAGGCAGAAAAATAGGAAGTTCCTAAAACTTCCAAATATAAAACATATCTCAAACAGTGAACAGTGACCAACCTAATTGTGTTGTAATGAATCAACCATTATCACATACCTTGAATGAACAATTAGGCCTACAGGCATTTGTGTCACTGCATCACAGAGAGTTCAGTTTAATGTTAAGACTCAGATGATGAACTGACTTTCCACTTGCATTTAGATTAACATGTCAGTTTATCACGGCTTCTATCCCGATAATATAATAACCCATGTTAATTCTTCTTAGATGACTAGTTAAAATACAGACTGTTTTGGTAATATTTTTCTTATTTCTTCTTACATTAACATGATGGTATGAATCTCTAACAAGTTTTATCTAATAAATGCAAAGAAATTGTGCCATAAACTAAACTTCAGCATATTCCCCCTTTTTTAATAGTTATATCCAGATTTCATGGTGAAATACTTCAACATAGATTGGTGATAAGAGATGGAACATTGTTAATATATAACAATCTGCTGAGACTACAACAGTGCATCCTATTTATTGGAATATCCTCAAATACATGCACATATTATTGAAATATTTAAACAATAAGATATCTGTACTTCTTTTGGCTTATTTTGGACTTCACCCATCGTCTGGTATATAAAAGACAAAAAAAACACAACATTTTGGAGACTGAATCTGTCTCCGTCTTCAGGTGGATAGGGAAGGATAAACCTACTCAGTTGGGCCCCTTAGAAAGAGCTAGTGATTTTGACTAGCTCTTTCTAAGGGGCCCAACTGAGTAGGTTNTTTTTTTTTATACCAGATGATGGGTGAAGTCCAAAATAAGCCAAAAGAAGTACAGTATACACCATCGTCAGAATCCTTTCAAGTCTAACTGAAATAAGATATCTGTCTTACCAGTCTCACTATAACAAAGATCTTTGATCCTGACAGAATACAATACAATATATATATGCTGGTGTCTCAGAATGTGCCATAAATGATAGAATAACATTAGGACATTCAACCACACAGCCTGGTGAGCACAGCTTCTGCACAAGCTGACAGAGGAATAACGTTCAGAACACTTTCATAAAAGCTCCATCCATCTATATGTTTAATGCCCACAGTTGCTCACTGGAGATGTTTCAAATATAAGTTGTATGTATAATGAAACTTGATTAGTAACTCCCAGTGGAAACGTCCAGCAACAGATTTGATTAGTGGCTATTCAGTAGTTTTGGAGATAAAATATGCAAAGAGATGGATTTTTTGTCTAAGTTTCAATGTCATGAAACTGTATCATTTATGGCCTAAAATTCAGACACCTGGCTTAAACTATAACCTTTAATCCTTTAGTTCACTGTATGTTAAACTAGACAAGATACTGGCCTCAATGATGGAGACATAGCAAGTCTCCAAAAACTTATTTTTTTAGCTCAACCATGATCACCTGAAAAGATATTTGTGCATTTGTTCACTGCAAAAGCTTCAAATCTTGTATAGACAATTATTGCAAATAAATGGCATGTGTTATAGGCAGTATTACTTTTAAATAGCACTTAGTATATGAATATACTTGTATACACACATTTTTGTATGTCTTGCATGTGATATAACCGAGTATAATCTATTATAAAATACTGTGCTGTATTATATGTACATGAATGGTCAGTAGAAAGTATAAAATATATTTCCTTGTAAAATATGCTTGTTTAAAATAACAATAAAATTTTCTGATCAGAATAATTCAAATCTCCTCCAACAGTTAATTCCCATTTAACAAATGCAATGACAAACTAAGTATCATGTACTTCTTTTGGCTTATTTTGGACTTCACCCATCGTCCGGTATAAAAAAGACAAAAAACCACAACGTTTCGGAGACTGGATCTGTCTCCGTCTTCAGGTGTATAGGGAAGGTTTAACCTACTCAGTTGGGCCCCTTAGAAAGAGCTAGTCTCAATCACTGGACCTTTGTACTTCTTTTGGCTTATTTTGGACTTCACCCATCGTCCGGTATAAAAAAGACAAAAAACCACAACGTTTCGGAGACTGGATCTGTCTCCGTCTTCAGGTGTATAGGGAAGGTTTAACCTACTCAGTTGGGCCCCTTAGAAAGAGCTAGTCTCAATCACTGGACCTTTGNAAAAAAAAATGATTGTGTTATTTCATGAGATTATTTAGCGCTGAATAAGATCATTTTATTTGGTGAACTGGAAAGGACTGGGGTGGAAGAAGTCATGGCCAATTTTAAGATACTATCCTGATATTTGCCTGGAGGGGCTGGGGAAAAGACTAAATAACCACTGTGAAGATTCAGCCATTTGCTCTTTTGTTGAACTTTTCTATGCTTTCACTTTGTGGGACATGACTCTGAGGATAAAATAAAATGTTACTGTTACATTAAATCTTATTTCCTTGTTCTTGTTACCAGTAAGAAATTTTCAAACCATGATTTCACGATTATTATAATGTCCTTTCATATAAAAATGACATTTTGGAAAGTTCTGTGGAAGTACTGTACATCATTTACTCCAAAATGCACATTGCATTGCTAAAAGTTGGATATATTAAAGTGAGGAGATGTGATATTCTGAGAGTAATATAAAATTTTATACGACAAGAGCCAAACCCAAATTCATTTTTCTTCACAAGAAATGTGCAGGAAATTGTGTGGTAAGAATTCAGTGTTATGGTGGGGTTCTGTGCACCCAGATTAGATGCTTAAGGAATGAAGAAAAGACAGTGGACATTAAATCACATTTCAGTAGCCATTACTGGAATAGCAAGTGTTGAAAATATAAGGTTGGTGTGTGAATAATTATCAGTTCTAGAATTATCTTAAAACTTAATGGCCAGAACTTCCTCCCACCCTCAAAAAGCCAATTTTGGAGGCTTATACATGGAAGTATAGTATCAAAATGGATATATGGGCTTAAAGATGTGAACTTGACTGATCTAACTCAGGATAGAGCACAATGATGGACTTTTGTGATGGCAGTTCCAAACTCTTGGGTTTTGGAATAGGAGAGAGCTTCTTTATCATCTCAGTGAATATTGCCTGCTTCAGGAAGATTCTGCATCATGAAATAGTAACCACTGAGAGAAGTTTGTCTTCATATCTCAGCATTAAAAAGTTTCACTTGCAAGAATATTAATGAGTTGTCAACTGCCATTGTCAAAAATATCCAAAAACTTATCATTAAATGGTTAACCAGCAACAGGAATAAGAAGCAAGCAGGTCATTATTAAAGCAATATGATTCATCTTCGTCATTATGATTATTTTCAATTTGAATGTATCTGTTGTTAAATCTACATAACCAAATCAAATATTCTGTGTTCAAACACAATATCTGTATAGCACCTTATGTCATATGTATTAGATTTTATTTTTGCCTGCTGAGGTATGGAATTTTATATGCCTTTTATAATATGTTATTCAACATGGGAGTATTTTATTTGGACTTCTAAATAACATCAATGTAAAAGTATACAGGTACATTCAGTGGGTGTATTTGGCAGAATTACAAGTGAAATAATTAAAACTATGATGAACTTTCTCCTTATAATAAACAAACATTAAATTCAAATGCAGTTATCCAGTGTTAAGTAATGCTCAAACTGGCAAGATGTCAAAACTATATACAGAATGAACAATCAGTATTAAGTCTTCAGCATTGTGTCATATTATGCAGACTAAATTAAAAATTTATATATATAAATTACTTAATATATGCTTCATATTCATATTGTAATAGAAAACTACAATGAAGGAATAAAACAGATTTCATTAAATGCAGTCTAAATTCAATAAGTATTTTGTTTTATTGTTAATTCCCACTGTGTCCAGG